AAGGTACATCGTGAAAGAAGCGCTTTGTCCAATCCGCACTACGTGGCTGTCCATAATGGGAACTCAGGACCTCCAACAGGCTGACGCGTTTCAAGGACTTGCCTCTTCCTCAGAGCCACAGTATCATTTTGTGAGTACAATACCTACTTTTATCATTAATAAATACAATTTTAAAGGTAATGCACTAGGCCGGTGCGCCCTCTGTTTGTTTTTTATCTCTACTCAGTATATGTGGACTTCCCCAGTCTTTTGTGGGCAGCAAGGCGTGCATATCCCAAGAAACGAGTGATGTGTTCCTATCTATACAGAGTCCATCTCTAAGCGCAGGAATAACTGGGTTTGGGTTTGCCATTTTCTTCAATGTAGCTAGTGCAGCACTAGTTTCTTAATACGCATAACAATAAAAAGTGTTTAGGAACAAATCCCCCACCAATAGCAAAATAAATAAGTGCAAATAACACGCATATTTAGGTATCGGTCACAGGGTGGATTTGATTTAAATCCTAGTTTTCTACATAAAGACTAATTCTTGCTGGTATAACTTTAATATGCAAGTAGATGAAGATTTTTAGAATAACAACTTTTCAGATTAGTTTTTTTTATCCCCAGTTTAATAGGTTAATCATTCATATTTGGACAACTTTTCTGTTGTACTTAGGAAGGAGAAAAATAATCATTACCTCAATAATAACAATTTAAATAGATTTATTCATCTGAAACAATAACATTCCAGCATATGTGATTTGCTTAAACATCCATGTTTGGTAACTAATTTGGCTAAACAAAATATATATATTTTAAGAAACTTAGACTGTCAGCCCCTCCTCCTTACACTTAGTTTCACTTTCTTCTTGTGCAGATCTATTCCACTCCAAACAATCAGAAAAATATTGTTTCTATTCTATTCACTGAACTTCTTGAAACTTAGCACTGAATGGGGTTGATTCTGTATTCATAGGTTTGTAGAAGTTAGGATGAAGGTCTTTTTCTTAACTCTGTTCATGTTATAACATTTTTGCTGTGAAGAAGAGGCATGTGATCTCCGCTGAGTCAAATTCAGTTTTGAGAACTGAAAAAGTAAACCGAGCATCTGTGATAATATCTTGTAGGCAGAGAAACTGCCCAATAATCTTACAAAAACCTCTGGAAGAGCCTGACATTGTGAATGGATTCATGGAATTTATTATCAAAAAAATTAAACATTTACAGCCTTATTCTACATAATTATAAAACTAATCTTTATTTCATGATGGAATAACCTTTGGATGGTAATATATTTTCCTCCAAAAAGCATTTTATTCAAAAAAATCCGATTTAAATTAAAAAAAATCCTATTTTTTTGTTTTTGTTTTTTTTAAAAAATCATTGATTTTTATCCACCCTGATCGGTCCATAAAAAAGTCCTCTTAAGCCTCCAGGTGCTGGTGTTTTGGAAAAGGAGACCAAGAATAGAGAAGAATCCTCCACCTTCCACCCAATCACACAGCCTCTTACCAGAGGATTTCACTATGCAAAGGATTGGTCAGATAGCGCAGTTAACAGGCCCGGAGGATGTATCGCAAAATCCCAAGTTGTCCCCACGAGGAGTCCAGGTTAAATATGCTGCTTCTCCAGGTATCAAAAAACTCTCAAATGGCAAATTTCTCTCCCCATGACAAACAGCATATAAGAGGAGAATACCTGCTCATTGTGTAGTAAATTGGAATTTATTCACAGTAATGCACTTACAAGTTCCATATTCAAAACTGCATCTCGGCATAATGTTTCCAACCAACAAAATGGCCACGGTCCGTAACGGTGCGTGATGACGTCACACATTGTAACTCTGTCATGGAAACCTACACTAGATAGTTAGGGCTACACTCATGTTTTGTACCCATTCTGCTGTTTGGACTGTATTAATGAACATAAAGTTGAAACTAACAGTCTCATGCCTGATCTGAAGTTTCTGCATGGAGTGCATGTAAGCACATGGCGTATCCAAAAGAACAGGGCCTGTAATGCACACACGGAGATGAAGAGGAAGAACTAGAGAGCCACCAAAAGGGTTTACCGTGCAAAGGAGTTGGCGGGAAGTTATGAGGTTGCTACAAGTAACCGGAACTGGTGGGAATATAATAGCAGCCAGTGGTACCGGGCATGGGTGATGGTTAGCAAGGGGGGTTAGTGCTCGGACTCCCTCCCTAGCAGTTTGTGCCCCTAAAGCATTCGGGCCCGAAACCTGTGAGGACCCCATGGACCTAGCCGCAGGTACGAGAGAGTCGAAGGAGTTAAATTGTGCGTCCATAGAAGTCCGCACTTCGTGCATGGCAAGACCCCTACTCTGTCACTGGGAGTGAGGTGAGAGGAAAGCAAGGCTGGTGGAGCAGAGCACGGGCTTAGTGATGGCGGAGCAGAGCACGGGCTTGGTGATGGTGGAGCAGAGCATGGCCTTGTTGATGGTGGAGCAGAGCATGGCCTTGTTGATGGTGGAGCAGAGCATGGCCTTGTTGATGGTGGAGCAGAGCATGGCCTTGTTGATGGTGGAGCAGAGCATGGCCTTGTTGATGGTGGAGCAGAGCATGGCCTTGTTGATGGTGGAGCAGAGCATGGCCTTGTTGATGGTGGAGCAGAGCATGGCCTTGTTGATGGTGGAGCAGAGCATGGCCTTGTTGATGGTGGAGCAGAGCATGGCCTTGTTGATGGTGGAGCAGAGCATGGGCTCGTTGATGGCGGAACAGGGCGCGGGCTCGGTGATGGTGAACAAGGACCCGGGCTCGGTGATGGTGAACAAGGACCCGGGCTCGGTGATGGTGAACAAGGACCCGGGCTCGGTGATGGTGAACAAGGACCCGGGCTCGGTGATGGTGAACAAGGACCCGGGCTCGGTGATGGTGAACAAGGACCCGGGCTCTGGGTGATGGTGAACAAGGACCCGGGCTCGGTGATGGTGAACAAGGACCCGGGCTCGGTGATGGTGAACAAGGACCCAGGCTCGGTGATGGTGAACAGCATGGGCTCGGTGACGGCGGAGCAGGGCGCGGGCTCGGTGACGGCGGAGCAGGGCGCGGGCTCGGTGACGGCGGAGCAGGGCGCGGGCTCGGTGGCGGCGGAGCAGGGCGCGGGCGCGGTGGCGGCGGAGCAGGGCGCGGTGGCGGCGGAGCAGGGCGCGGGCTCGGTGACGGCGGAGCAGGGCGCGGGCTCGGTGACGGCGGAGCAGGGCGGGGGCTCGGTGAGGGCGGAGCAGGGCGGGGGCCCGTTGACGGCGGAGCCCCCGTTGACGGCGGAGCAGGGCGGGGGCCCCGTTGACGGCGGAGCAGGGCGCGGGCTCGGTGACGGCGGAGCAGGGCGCGGGCTCGGTGACGGCGGAGCAGGGCGCGGGCTCGGTTACGGCTGTGCAGGGCGCGGGCTCAAAATGCTGCATTCAGAAAGATATGGTGTACAATGTCACAGAGAGAGTGTCTCACAGAAGAAGTCTAATGTGCAAGGGAAATGATTCGCTTCTAAACAGGGAGTGCCGCCCTAATGTTGATTTCACATAATTGTGGTCCCGCCTGGTCCCGGTCATTAGTGAGCACGTTCACGGAAGAGTCCCCGTGTATTGGGTGAGTTGGCCCTGCCCACAAACTGATATGGTTTACTTTGCATATTTGCAATATGACCTCATTAAATCCTGAGCTTAGCGGGCTGAGTTCTGGCTCTCTCTTCTAATGGTTGTTGATGGTGTCACTGTTAGCAATGCACTTTGGATTAAGGAAACTAAAGTATACGGCGCAGGATAGATTTGTGACAATGTTTGAAGTCCAGCCTGAGCGGCTACCTTGCTGCCTCTATAGATACAGTGGAGGAATGTGTGTAGCCACCCAGGGATAGGAAGGGTGTTATTTGTACATTTACTGAGTGTAAACAAAGGAAATCTGAAAATAAGAATACTAATACAGCCACACAGCTAGGGACAACTAGGGACGGGTACGCTGCAGCATATTCATTTTTGTCTTTGGGGTTCATGTCAGCTTAAACATATGAAAAGCAGAATCTCTGTAAACTCAACATTGGAGTTCATGTTTTACCAAGCTGTCTTAGACTTGCAAGCCCATAGGAAAAACAGATTGCAGGCATTCATGGGGAAAATTCGATCTTTAGCGGTACTCATTTCACCTGTAGCAAATTACTCTTCTGTGTATAAATTTGGGAACAATATGGTCTATCCCAGTTTTACATGTACTTGTCAAGTGAAAATAAATTATAAGTCCAAAAAAGATCCCAAATAAAGTCCAGTGTCCCCCAAAAAAGGTAAAGAAAATATATAAAAATGAAAAAAAAAAAAATAGTTCATAAATTTTCCAGCGCACTCACATCATCAGTGGTAAATAATTTCACCCGCACTCACCAGATACAGTGGATTCTCACGCTGATAAGGCTTTGAGCATCAAAACCGGCTTAGAGGTGGGGTGTAGTCTCTACAGGTGGCTTTCCTTTTGTCGATTCCTTACTGAATATCCCTCCAAAAACGATTCCACATAAGGCGATGAAAATAAAAAAAGAAAACACCAATAGTGTGATACTGTGTGAGGTTTTAAAAAAAAACAAAAACAAATTAAATGTCCATCATTACACTCACTTTGAGAGTGTAATGATGGACATTTAATTAATCACCACTTTGTCTGGTGAGTGCGGGTGAAATTATTTACCACTAATGATGTGAGCACACTGGAAAATTTTATGAACTATATTTTTTAATTTTTATGTATTTTCTTTACCTTTTTTTTTTTTTAGCACCTTTTTTTTTTTTTTTTGGGACACTGGACTTTATTTGGGATCTTTTTTTGGACTTATAATTTATTTACACTGTTTACTATTATTTCCTCTGTGTTTTATTATGAGTTTTTTCTCATTTTTTTTTTTTTTTTTTTCGTTTTTGAACAGCAGCATTTATTGATGTTTTTTGTTATTTCCTTGGCGCAAGTTTGTGGTTAATTACATGTACTTGTGTTTTAATAAATAAAATTGTATTTTTACAGGGGAAGTCATTGCACTGTGTGGGAGCAGTGAAGTTCTGGGTGCCTGGAAGCCGCATAATGCTGTCATCCTACAGCCTGACCCCAATGATTGGTAAATAAAGGAGGGGTTCTGTGTGTCATCGCTGCTTTCCTTGCTTGTGTGTTAATTGTTATCTAAGGCTTGGTTCACACCTATGCAAGTTTGCTTTTGATCTTTCTGCAGAGCTTTTTGTGGTGTGTTTTTACACAGGTGTTTGATTTTTTTCATACACTTTTTTTTTTTTTTTTTAATGCTTTTTTTCTTTTTGTCAAAAACGCAGTACATGCTTTTCTGCAGCCTCTTCATTGAAGTCTTTTTGAACCATTAATGCACCATTATGCGATTAAATAAAAGTCCCTGCCGTTTTGCAAAAAGCATCAAAAAACCGCATAGTCATGGACTAGGCCTAAAAGAATGATTGCCCTTGGATTACAATACGCATTTTGGTAAGCATGATATGTGTAATATCATGGTGTTCACTTTTGGGATTGCAGATCTTTCCAGCGTGTTCAGTATGCATAGAAAAACATAGGCTTTCCTTGTGCAAGGTTATGTATTTATCATAAATGTTTACATTGGACCTTTCTTCCTAAAACAAGAAAACATAAAATGTGCATAGAGCTGTGCATGCTGAGTAAGAGACACAATGCAGTCTTGTTGAAATAATGTTCTATTGCTAAAAATACATATAAAGTACGACCGAACTGTATCTGAGCACCACAAACTGAAATCGCTATATAACCCCTTGGCGCAGAGCATACGTAAATTAGTGGCTCCACTGGACTGGGCTTTTTTCCGTGGAGCCGCTAATTTGTACACCTGTCTTTGCGCTGGGATCGCGCCGCACAGCTCGCTTCCAGCACAATGACTGGGGTGTCAGAGAGCCCCAGGTCCCGTTCGAACGATCAGGACCCGGAACTCTATTTACTAGTGGTGCACCGAAATGAAAATTCTGGTGCTGAAACAGATACCGAAAACTCAGAATGCATGTGGCTGAAAACCAAACTGAAATGTTTGCGTATGGGGGTGGGGAGGCTCCAATTTATTTTTTTTTTATGTATATTTTTTTTTTTCTACTTTCATGTATAATTTTTTTTTTTTACTTACGATTTTATTGCTATAACATAAAGGACCAATAGTTCCCTATGTGATGGCATATGAGTGACAGGTCCTCTTTGTAGGGGGGAGGGGGTGGGGGGCAGTGTGTGCAAGGAGGGGGCAGGAGAGGAGCAGTGTATAAAGAGAGGCTCCCTCACTGGCTGTCACTATGGGGTTTATTTACTAAAGCTGGAGAGTGCAAAATCAGACTCCCTTCTGCATAGAAACCAATCAGCTTCTAACCTCAGCTTGTTCAATGAAGCTTTGGCAACGAAACCTGGAAGCTGATTGGTTTCTATGCAGAAGGGAGTCTGATTTTGCACTCTCCAGCTTTAGTAAATAAACCCCTATATGTCGGTGCCGATTTTTTTTAAATGCAATTTCAAGCTTTTGTTTTTTACTTCACTATAGCTCACAGAATTAGCTGTCAATTTCCCCGGAGCTAAAGGTAACTTTTTTGTTTTTTAACTCTGGAAAGAAACTAAAAAGAAACGTTTCTTTTAACTCTTTTAATGGAATCTTTTACTCTTCCATCCAGTCCATCCCCTACAGTTACTACCTTTTGTACCACTAGCCCCTCCCTCCTAGATTGTAAGCTCCCAGGATCAGGGCCCTCAAATCCCTCTTGTATTGGACTGTATTGTTACTGTATTGTCTCCCGTTATATTGTAAAGCGCTGAGCAAACTGTTGGCGCCATATATAAATCCTGTATAATAATAACTCGGGGAAAGAAACTAAAAAGAAACGTTGCTTCTTTTAGCTGGGGGGAAAGTGACAGCTAATTCTGTGAGCTGTAGTGGTGAAGAAAAAAAAAAAGCCGTCAATTACATTTAAAAACCGGCACTGACCTATAGTGACAGCCAGTCACTGTATACACTGCTCCTCTCCTGCCTTTCTCAGCTGTCCCCCCCCCCCCCCCCCCCCCTCTCCACATTTGCAGTACACGAAGTCTCCTGTATCGGCTACATTTTTCCTATAGGACTATTTTCGTCTGCTATGTTTCGATGCCCGAAATTTTGTTGCATCCATACTATTTACTAGTGCTGGCAGCACAAGGATTAAAAATGGTTCATGTTGATTAAACCCTTCCCGCCGGCCTTGGCGCTGAGCGGCCGCAGATTTGCGTTCAGGTAAGAAAAAACATATGTGCTGAGAGCGCGCGCTCCCAGCACACATGTCCGGTACTCACGGAAAGGTCCCGGTCTGCTCTTTCGATCAGGACCTTTCCCGATCATGTGACCACCGTGACGACACGCCACGGTGGTCACATGATCCCTAAACCACGCCCCACCTGCCCTGCCTCCCGGCGTCTGAAACTCTTAAAGGGCTGGGAGGCACCGGCGGGAAGGGGTTAAGAGTATACTGTAGTTGGAAACTCAGTTTATTATTGTTTATTATTATTATTGTTGTTCTTGAGTTCTCAGGTTGTACTAGGGCAACATGAAGCAATATGTTCTCCCTGAACTTGTATGGCATCCTTCAGGTGCTCTGGTTTAGGCCTATTGCACACAGGCATCAAAATGCTGCTGCTAAGGGTGTCTGCGTTTTTTTTTGTTTTTTTTTTTATGCATGTGAATGTATGAGCCTAGGGTGATCGATTTTTAATAGGAAAGCAGAGGGACTGGCAGGAACCCCAGGGATTTCCCACAAGGGAAGCAATACAAAGAGAACAGGAGACTTTTTCATGCATTCAAGTACATGGTACAGCGGGCACATATCAGGAATATGAAGTTCTGGGGTAACATATTCTTTAATGAACAGTAATATTGTACAGTGATCAGCATCCTTGTGTTCCTTCATTATAGTACGGCCTGGAGAACAAATGTTACACTCCCCAAAGGAACTGAAGTACAATATCGATACTTCAAGGGCTTCTTTCTGGAACCAACGGTATGTTTTATTTTATTGTTGACCATACTTTGGCAGATCCTCGAGTGCAGTAAATGTTTCGATTTTCATTGTATTTTCATTACAAGCAAAGTTAGGAAAATGTAGTAGCCAGGCAGCCTCTGCTCTATAACATTTTTGTATTGGTGGCTGTCTGGTCCTGGCGAATCCTGTCCCCTGAATTCAGCTTGCATTTGTCTGCCATAGTCCTGAAAATAATTCTACATCTAGGCTGCAAACTGGTGTAAATAATAAGCTTTTGATGCAGGCTATATCTTTTAAGCTGACCATACATGGTTCAAACGTCCTGCTAAATCAGGCCAAATTTGAGCTGCCCTGCTGGTTCCACTCGGCTCAACAAAAGTCAGTTGAAAAATTGATGGAGTCCATTGAACAGCAACTACATACAATCGGATGCAGCTAATGTTCAGGTATTTAGACAGCCGCAGGTGGTGCAGCTGCTTAAATACAATAGCCAGCATTGCAGATTCCTGCATCAACATCCTTCAGGTGGTTAAAAGTATGGGCTTTTTTTGTTTTTTTTTTGTCCCCCCCCCCCCCTAAATTATACTTACCTAGGTGGGTGCAACATCTGTCTCCCACTGGCTGTAAGTGTGTTCGCTGAGTTCTCACAGCCCCTCTGAGCAGACAGCGGTGACTGTCAGTTAAAGCCCCCCCCCCCCATGTTGAGGGCATGTGGCCTGATATGGATCAGGAAGGGGGGGCACTCGCTCACCCAACCCCCCCCCTTTCTTGACCTGCCAGGCTGCATGCTCGGATAAGGGGCTGGTATGGATTTTGGGGGGGGGGGGGGGGAACCCCACGCCATTTTTAAAAAAAATTGGCGTGGGAGTTCCTTTCAAAACTCCATACCAGACCGAAGGACTTGGTATGGATGGGGGGGGGGGGGACCCCACCTCCCTTCTTCTTCTTCTTCTTCTTCTTTTTTTTTTTTTCTTTTTTTTTAATTGACGGAAATTTTTGTACATTCAGCTGTCAGTGGGGAACCCTGCTGGCAGCTGAAACATTAACACATGGTTGTCACTACTAAAATACCGCATGACTTGATAAAATAACTCATGCTGTATTTTAGTAGAATTTGCTTTTTTCTCACCTCAGGAACGGATTAATTGGTTTTCAATGCATTCCTATGGGAAACGGCGATTTGATTTACAAATTTTTAGCTATACGAAAAGTCCCACAGAACGAATTAAATTTGTAAACCGAGGTACGCCTGTATGTGTAGCTAAGTATGGTCAGCTTCACCAGTGACCTCCTCTTCCATTCAGCTGCATATACTTATTAACTCTGTTATTTACATCAATCATTTGTTTTATCATACGGCCAGGCTCAAAATGCAGAGTTCTGTTTAGTATGAAGTACCTTGTTGTATACCTTTTCGGGTGAGGTGTTGTTAAAGGCTAACTCCACCTTTTTGACAGATTTGAAAAAAAAATAATAAATGCAGATTTTTTTTTTTTTTTTTTGGTGCAAATATATGTGCATTTATTATTTTTTTTGTAAAAGGCGGACTTAGCCTTTTAAAGGAAGCCTCCGGGCATGAGCAAAACAAACTAATAAATACATAAAAGAATAACTATCCCTTACTGTTATACTGCTGCTAGCCCCTTATTCTTGGTTATTAAATTTGGGAGAAGCCTGCATTTTGTAAATTTTAACACAAGTGTGCCAAACTTTTTGACCACCTTATGCCATATTGGAATAAGAGGAATTGTCTTGGGTCACATATAAAATACACTAACAATAAGGATAACTGATGAGCAGAAAGTCAGGCAGATCACAAGTTAACGATCACTGATATAGATAATGTACAGTATTTTCTGGCGTATGACTACTTTTTATACTTAAAAATATACCCCAAAAATTGGGGTCATCTTATACGCGGGGTATAAAATGTGAACCTTGAGTTTGTTTGGGTCAAGCTGGCTGGATGTGTGGTAATATTGTACATACAGGATACCGTGCTGAGCCAAGCTGGCTCAAAACAAATGTCCCTATGACAGATTAATCTGTCAGCCCGCTGGATGTGCCGTATATACAGTATACTGCCTGAGGTGGGCTGATGATGTCACAACCTCAACTAATCCGAGCAGGCTTTGTATTCATTAGTAGAATACATTGCTTGCCGTGATTGGCCCAGCGTATACTGTATGTAGCCTGCTACCGTACATACACACATCCAGCGGGCTGATTACAGTAGGGACGTACCGGTACGTTTTGAAACCGCTTGGTCAGTATACTGTATATACCGCACATCCAGTGGGCTGACAGATTAATCTGTCATAGGGACATTTGTTTTGAGCCAGCTTGGCTCAGCACGGTATACTGTATGTACATTACCGCACATCCAGCAGGCTGTATATATACTGTTACTGTATGTAGCCGAAGCTACCGTATTACCGCACATCCAGCGGGCTGTATATATACTGTATGTAGCCAAAGCTACCGTATTACCGCACATCCAGCGGTAACCATCTGATTTGGAATTTGATCCATATGATGACTGTCTTACAAATGTATCACAAGATGTCATTCATGAACTTATGATGTCAAGGATGAACATGAGGATTTTGAAGGATTTTAAGTACCGGTAAGTCATAACCATTTCAGTTAAAAAAAATCTGATGTTTTTAAATGGTGTTGCCTTGTCTTATACACCCAGTCACCTTATACGCCGGAAAATACGGTACATACAGTCAGGTCCATAAATATTGGGACATCGACACAATTCTAACAGGCTCTATACACCACCACAATAGATTTGAAATGAAATGAACAAAATGTGCTTTAACTGCAGACTGTCAGCTTTAATTTGAGGGTATTTACATCCAAATCAGGTGAACGGTGTAGGAATTACAACAGTTTTTTCATATGTGCCTCCCACTTATTAAGGGACCAAAAGTAATGGGACAGAATAATAATCATAAATCAAACATTCATTTTTTAATACTTGGTTGCAAATCCTTTGCAGTCAATTACAGCCTGAAGTCTGGAATGCATAGACATCACCAGAATCCCTGGTGATGCTCTGCCAGGCCTCTACTGCAACTGTGTTCAGTTCCTGCTTGTTCTTGGGGCATTTTTTCAGTTTTGTCTTCAGCAAGTGAAATGCATGCTCAATCGGATTCAGGTCAGGTGATTGACTTGGCCATTGCATAACATTCCACTTCTTTCCCTTAAAAAACTCTTTGGTTGCTTTTGCAGTATGCTTTGGGTCATTGTCCATCTGCACTGTGAAGCGGCGTCCAATGAGTTCTGAAGCATTTGCTGAATATGAGCAGATAAATTGGAAACACTTCAGAATTCATCCGGCTGCTTTTGTCAGCAGTCACATCATCAATAAATACAAGAGAACCAGTTCCATTGGCAGCCAAACATGCCCACGCCATGACACTACCACCACCATACTTCACTGATGAGGTGGTATGCTTAGGATCATGAGCAGTTCCTTTCCTTCTCCATACTCTTCTCTTCCCATCACTCTGGTACAAGTTGATCTTGGTCTCATCTGTCCATAGGATTTGTTCCAGAACTTTGAAGGCTTTTTTAGATGTCGTTTGGCAAACTCTAATCTGGCCTTCCTGTTTTTGAGGCTCACCAATGGTTTACATCTTGTGGTGAACCTTCTGTATTCACTTGGTGAAGTCTTCTCTTGATTATTGACATTGACACACATACACCTACCTCCTGGAGAGTGTTCTTGATCTGCCAACTGTTGTGAAGGGTGTTTTCTTCACCAGGGAAAGAATTCTTTCATCCACACAGTTGTTTTCCGTGGTCTTCCGGGTCTTTTGGTGTTGCTGAGCTCACCAGTGCGTTCCTTCTTTTTAATAATGTTCCAAACAGTTGTTTTTGGCTACGCCTAATGTTTTTGCTATCTCTCTGATGGGTTTGTTTTGTTTTTTCAGCCTAATGATGGCTTGCTTCACTGATAGTGACAGCTCTTTGGATCTCATCTTGACAGTTGACAGCAACAGATTCCAAATGCAAATAGCACACTTGAAATGAAATCTGCTCATTGTAATTGGGATAATGAGGGAATAACACACACCTGGCCATGGAACAGCTGAGAAGCCAATTGTCCCATTACTTTTGGTCCCTTAATAAGTGGGAGGCCCATATGCAAACTGTTGTAATTCCTACACTGTTCACCTGATTTGGATGTAAATACCCTCAAATTAAAGCTGACAGTCTGCAGTTAAAGCACATCTTGTTCGTTTCATTTCAAATCCATTGTGGTGGTGTATAGAGCCAAAAATGTTTCGATGTCCCAATATTTATGGACCTGACTGTATATGAGAAATAAAACTTTTTTTTGTTTTTTAAATTTTTTTTCATTACAAGAGTAAAAGAGGGCAACATAAAACTAGTTCAATATCTGACATTGTTTTTGATAAACTCACACATCAGTATCTGGTTGAATGGATGTAGTAACAATTCTCAATGAATTTTCAAGGACTCATCAGATATGTTGGTTCTAAGTTTGCCCTTCATGTGCCTCATCCTTGAAAATAGTGGGTATAGAAAAGAATCACATTTTGTTACTTTGCAGCCTGAAATAAAGACACGCTGTTTTTTGTTTTATCCAGCTGTGTTTTACTCAGTGCAACTTATAACATCCAAGTGAAAAATAAACACCACATGTCAGGGGAAAAAAATGTCACTCAGGGGATCAATAATGACTGTAAAGAATCAGCTAATCACCTTCTCAATTGCACACAAAGCTATCTGATTTTCAACTTTGATCAAATGTGTTCATTTTGTTTAGCTCAGCATGAAATAAGCTTTCCTGGAGCATTTCAGTCCCTAGCAGGGGCGGACTGACAACTCAGGGGGCCCCCGGGCAATAGGGGATCATGGGACCCCTGTGTCCAAAAAAACTCAAAAAGCCTATGATAAAGGTACCAGGGGCATCTCATGGGGCCCCCTACTGACCCCGGGCCCTCGGGCAGTGCCCAAGTTTCCAAATGGTCAGTCTGCCCCTGGTCCCTAGTAGTGCAGCTGAAGCAAACAATCAGCTATGGGTGGCAAGGCACTGTCAAAAGATCTCTGGGATAAAGTTCTGGATAGGCACAAGTCAGGAAATGGATACAAAAAATTCCAAAGTCTTTATCAATGCCTAGAAGCAGAGTGAAGTCTATGATTTAAGAAGTGGAAGGTATCTGGTACAACACAGACCCTCCCTGGATCAGGACGTCACTCCAAACTGGGTGAAAAAGCCAGAAGGAAACTGGTCAGAGAGGCTACCAAGAGGCCTACAGAAACTCTGAAGCAGTTGAAGGAATTGATGACACAGAGTGGTCATTGTGTGCATGTGACAACAATTTTCTCCACAATTGTGGCCTGTATGGGAGGTTACAAAAAAAAAAAAGCTGCTCCTCCAGAAAGGACACATGCAGTCACCACTGAGCTTTGTCAAAACGCACCTTTTGAAGATTCAGGCCACATGGAAAAAGGTGTTCTGGTCAGATGAGTCTAAAATTGGACGATTTGGCCTCAACACTAAACTATATCTGGCAGAAATCCAATCCAGCTCACCATCAAAATACCACCATTCCTATAGTAAAACATGGAGGGGGGAATATCCTGTTATGGGGGGGTAATAGTTCTCTGCAGCAGGGACTGGAGCACTTGTCAGGAGAGAAGGAAAAATGGATGGGGCAAAATACTGTCACGTTCTAGAGAAAATTGCTGTCAGGAAGATGACAATGGAAAGAAGATTTACCTTCCAACATGACTATTTATTTCAGGTACTTATATAGTCAATTTACGCAGCACTTTACATATATATTGTACATTCACATCAGTCCCTAACCCTCAAGGGGCGTACAATAAGGTCCCTAACTCACATTCATACATACACAACTAGGGACAATTTAGACAGGATCCAATTAACCTACCACAGTCTTTGGAGAGTGGGAAAACCGGAGTACCCAGAGGAAAACCCACGCAAGCACAGGGTTGCAAAAGGAGCAAAAAAAGGTGAATACTGCAAGTCAGACGTGTACTAAGCACTGTAGCCACATGACTCCCAGACCCAAAAACCCAAAAATAGAAAATCTGTTGAAGGATCCTTTAGCTTAGCCAGAAAGACTGCAGAAAATCTGTGGATTGCTTGAAACGGTCACCATCATACGTAACTGAACTTGAGCAGTTCTGCAAAGAAGAGCGGGCAAATATTGCAAAGTCTGGATGTGCAAAGTTAGTAGAGACATATCCCAACAGACTAAAGGCTGGAATTAAAGTCAAAGGTGGTTCAACAAAATAGTGACACAAAGGGGGTCATTCTTTTTCCAACTCGGTGATTTCTGCTGTTTTTGAGGTTTTTTTTTTTTCTGACATGTTGGTGTTTCATAACTTTTTCTTGGATGTTATAAGTTGCACTGGACAGCTGGATAAAACAAAAACTGTGTTTGGTCTTCATTTCAGGCTGCAGCTATGCGGTTTACTTCAATAAAACATGTTTATAAAACTACTGGTTCTTGGTGTCTAGGCAGCAGAGTGTTTTCAGATGTTTTCTGAAAGTCTTCAAATCATCTCTCACTGAATGATTATGTAATGTAACATTCCAAAAGTATATGTAAACCCTCACTTTGTAAAACAACCCATTCACTTTAAAATATAAATGAAAGGCAGAACATTTGTGTACAGATATAAAAACATTATATACACTGCTCAAAAAATTAAAGGAACACTGTTTAATCAGAGTGTAGCATCAAGTCAATGAAACTCCTGGGATATTGATCTGGTCTGTTAAGTAGCAGAGGGGGTTGTTAATCAGTTTCAGCTGCTTTGGTGTTAATGAAATTAACAACAGGTGCACTAGATGGGCAACAATGAGACGACCCCCAAAACAGGAATTGTTTTACAGGTGGAGGCCACTGACATGGCCCTACTCATCTTTTCTGACTGTCTTTCACTAGTTTTGCATTTGGCTAGGGTCAGTGTCACTACTGGCAGTTTGAGGCGATACCTGGACCCTACAGAGGTTGTCCAACTCCTCCAGGATGGCACATTAATACGTGCCATTGTCAGAAAGTTTGCTGTGTCTCCCAGCACAGTCTCAAGAGCATGGAGGAGATTCCAGGAGACAGGCAGTTACTCCAGGAGAGCTGGGCAGGGCCGTAGAAGATCCTTAACCATCAGCAGGACCGGTATCTGCTCCCTTTGTGCAAGGAGGAACAGGATGACCTCTGCCAGAGCCACTACAGAATGACCTCCAGCAGGCCACTGGTGTGAATGTCTCTGACCAAACAGAAACATACTTCATGAGGGTTGCCTGAGGACCAGATGTCCTCTAGTGGGCCCTGTGCTCACTGCCCGGGCACCATAGCGCTCAATTGGCATTTGCCACTGAACACCAGAATTGGCAGGTCCACCACTGGCGCTCTCTGTGCTTTTCACAGATGAGAGCAGATTCACCCTGAGCACATGTGACAGACATGAAAGGGTCTGGAGAAGCCGTGGAAAACGTCTCTGCCTGTAACATCGTTCAGCATGACCATTTTTGGTGGTGGTGGATCGCACAGACTCACAACCTCTACAGACTAGACCATGTCACCCTGACTGCCATTAGGTATTGGGGTGAAATCCTTGAACCCATTGTCAGACCCTACGCTGGTGCAGTGGGTCCTGGGACCCTCGTGGTGCACGACAATGCCGGCCTCATGTGGTGAGAATATGCAGGCAGTTCCTGGAAGATTAAGGAATTGATACCATTGAGTGGCCCCCACGCTCGCCTGACCTAAATCCAATAAAAACCTCTGGGATGTCATGTTTCGGTCCATCTGACGCTGCCAGGTTGCACCTCAGACTCTCCAGGAGCTCAGTGAAGTCCTGGTCCAGATCTGGGAGGAAATCCCCCAGGACACCATCCATCGTCTCATTAGGAGCCTCCCCCGATGTTGTCAGGCATGCATACAAGCACGTGAGGACCATACCATTACTGAGGACCATTTTGACTTGCTGCAATTAAATTTCAGCAAAATGGACTCGCCTGCTGCATCATTTTTTCACTTGATTTTCGGGGTGTCTTTGAATTCAGTCCTCTGTAGGTCGATCATTTTCATCAAACGATGGGACATCCTTACGTTCCTAACACATTACCCCGTCCATGTCAGTATAGAGATAACCAGCAGGAGATTTTTCCCCATTGAGATCTGATGTGTTATCAAAGTGTTCCTTTTAATTTCTTTGAGCAGTGTATATACTGTACTTTTTTTTTTTTTTTTTTAATAACTGATCACAAAATCTGTTCTCAGCTACATAAAGGGCATAGAAAGAAATAGAGAAAAAGCAGTACACTGACCTTCCCAGTGAATGGCTGTGCTTGGAGGGCGTATCAGCACACGCCTTGGCCATTGGAGGTCAGGCAGGCTGTTTTCCCAGCACAGCCAGAAAACTGACCACTCTGTGATGGATGTGCTATCATGTCTAGTGTGGTCATTTTGAAATGGGAAAGTAGAGGGACTGGCAGGATCACCTGGTTTTTCACACAAAGGAAGCAGCAATACAAAGAGAACAGGACACTTTTTAACACAAGTACATGGTACAGCAGGATCATATCAGGAATATGAAATGTTGGGTTTACATATTCTTTAATATTTCTTGGATTCAAGATTAATTATGTTGTGCCAAATGTGTTTTGGTTTCTTTGCGTCTTACTTCTGTGCTCCAGCTTTGTAATTGTATTTTTGTTTTGCTTTTTGGCTGTGCCTACTACAGTAATTTCCAACTTCCAAGGGGTTACCACTGCTATGGCACATTCATGCTGGACAAATGTAAAAATGCAAAAAAAGCCATACTTAAAATTCAGCTTTTAAGATGAACTTTTGACTGAGATTGCACTGTCCCTTTGTTCAGGTATAGAAAAATCTTTTCTCATAATTTAGGTGTAGATGCATTGTATCTCTGACAATGACGATTTATCTGGGTGACTGAATGTAACCAGATCTTGCCAGCAGCTCTCATGCCATTCATAATAGGGTAAATATTGGGGTAAAGAGGTGTAATTCTGTACGTGAATGCAGATCTTTAACTTTTAACTTGCAGAACACCGGCGGTCCATGCCAAGTCATAGTTCACAAGTGGGAGACCCATCTACAGCCACGATCAATAAATCCTTTAGGTATGGCCATTTACTGCAAGGGGTCTTGTATCCTATTTCCTACATACATTATGGCGAATGAGTAAAAGTACATAAGGGCTTATTTAATAGGGCAGGGCAAAGGGCAGTAACCCGCATCGTCTTCTGGTTATAATAAGTTGTAAAGATGATTTCTTTTAAACGTAGACCGTGCCTCATCCCTTACATATTCATTTCTTTTAAACATAAAAATCCTTTTGTGGTGGGATTTTTGAGGCACAACTTACACGATGCTCCAGTATATAAAATCAGAATTTTTATTACAAAATTGTAACACTAAAACAAATTATTTCAAACCATTTCAAAGACTACCCCCATTTGCTATATCTAATTCATCATCATGGTTTTAGATCTTTAATTAGTGGTCCAAACCACTCCAATTTTAATTTCTGTGAACTCGCCAACAGATGATTTTATCGCTCTACGCGTTTCTTGAATACCAATCCACTTCTTCAGGGGCAGGCAATTGGCGGGTGATAAAGAACAGATACTCTAAACAGCATAGAAATCGAAAACGCAATTTTCACAATTCAATACAAAATACTCATATATTACAAGGGCTATGTGTTGACCGAGAGTACCGGAAACTCCTCAGGGGAGATGTTATATGTGTGTTTCAAACGATCCAAGAAGGAGACCCTAAAATAGCACAGCTAATGTAACCTGCCAGGCAACCAAATATTTCCCCCACCAAGGATTACACTGGAGGGGAGTATATCCTTTTGCCACTTCCCCAAATGTTGATGTTATCAAAAAATAAAACCGTAATTGCAAACGTAAAACAACATCTGAATTTATTTTGTAAACCTTCATTCCTATGTAAATGGGCATAAACCTGCAGTTTGAAAAGCTCTGGCAGGTTGATGGTGAACGGAAGAAGCGGTGTTCTGTGCTTTCTCAGGATTTGGTATTTTTGAATCGGGGCTGAGAGCTTGAAGACTCCAAAGAGTACGGAACTTTCAATCCGGTGTCTAAGCTCTCCTGTCTGGAGACCAAGGAAATATCCTCGAGACAGCACTCAATGTGGGAGAGGTGCCATGCCACTGAGAGAGTCTGGGAGACAGGAGCTGAGGCAACTGTCCTTTTCCCCAAATCCAATCACTGTCCAAATCTTGTAGACTTCATCTCCAAGATATGCCCATTTTTAACCTCGGAAACTACTAAGCAACTTATTCACTCCCTTATATCTCGCCTTGACTATTGTAACTCCCTCCTCATTGGCCAACCTCATCGCAGGCTATCCCCTCTTCAGTCTATCCTGAATGCTGCTGCCAGACTTATCCACCTTACTAACTGTTCTGTATCTGCCATCCCTCTGCCAATCCCTCCACTGGCTTCCCATTGCCCAACGAATAAAATTCAAAACATTAACAATAACATATAAAGCCATTTATAACTCCGCCCCAAATTACATCACCAATCTTGTCTCCAAATATCACCCAAACCGTCCTCTTTGCTCCTCGCATGACCCCCTGCTCTCTACCTCCCTTGTCTCGAGGACTTCCCCAGAGCATCCCCCATCCTCTGGAACTCTCTACCCCAATCTACCAGACTATCGCCTACTCAGCCCACTTTTAGGCGATCTCTGAAAACCTATATCTTCAGGGAAACCTATCCTGCCTTCAGCTAATAACGGAATCTTCTATTCCTCCTACCAGTCCATCCCCCACAGTTACTACCTTTTGTGTACCACTAGCCCCTCCCTCTTAGATTGTAAGCTCCAAGGATCAGGCCCTCCTATCCCTCTTGTATTGAACTGTATCGTCGCTGTATTGTCTCCCGTTATATTGTAAAGCGCTGAGCAAACTATATAAATCCTGTATAATAATAATAACTGGGAGACAGTCCAGGAGAGCCAAAGGAATCTGCGAGTCTCGGAAGAGTGAGCTCCCCTGAGCTATCTGGGAAACCTCTGCCTAGAGGCTAAGTGTGGGCACGTGCAGAGAGGTACTGCAGTTAAAGCTGTGCGAGTCTAAGAGCCAGGTTGCTGGGCATTTTTGTTTGGTGTGAAGCTGAAAGCCTTGCGTGGGAAACCTGATGTTCTAAGGACATTCTATTCTATTTCCTTTTAGTAAACGTGGGCTACCAGGCCCTTAACTGTAGTTCCTGTCTGCCATGGACTCATTGTAGAAACGCATCTACCACAAGAGCTGGCATCCCCGATATCGCAATATATGTTGTAGGCATGTCCTCTATATTAAACAAACCTAAAGATAGGGTACCTGCCTGACCCCAAAAAATACAGAAACACATTACCGTCCTCACTGGAAGGAGGGACCAGAGTCTCTATCTAGAGAACCTTTCATGAAAGACATTATTATTATTATACAGGATTTATATAGCACCAACAGCGCAGCGCTTTACAATATAAAGGGAGACAATACAGTTACAATACAATAATAAGAAGAGGCTTAAGAGGGTCCTGCTCATAAGAGCTTACAATCTAATACAAAGACATCGCTAGACATTCCAAATTAACGTAAAGTAGAACTATAGGCAAAACTTTTTTTTGATTCTGGTGAGAGTAAGGGAAGGTTTTGTAGCCATCTACATCGATTACTTTTCTGGGGACAACACAAAATTTGGGATTTTCTTTTTTTACTTTCAGTTTCAATGAGAAGGGTAAACAGGACAAATAGAGATGATGAATCTCTCTGACGGGCGCATAGGCGGCAATAAAAACTTGACAGGGGTTCTAATCCCTCTCCACAGTATCCAAAACTAAAAAAAAAAAAAAAAAAAAAAAAGTCTTGCTTTTAGTTAAACTTTAATTTTACAGGGATTTAGACCCTCACTCACTTTCCTTTTCACTATATATCCCAAAAGCAGACGCCCTGTGGTGATCGAGATGACAAATGTGTTGGTTCTTGACCCGCTGTTGAGCCATCTCGTGACGTCATATCGCATATACTTGACGTCATTGCGGTTCTGAGCGCCGGAGGTGTATATGCTCAGAATCCAATCAGGATTGAGCATGTGCAGGACGCCGCCTGTTCTCTCGCCAACACCGCACAAGAGAAGGGAAAACCTCTCCACCATCGACATATGCATGAGACGAAGGGCGGACATGCTTTTCTGTGGTGTTTAGAGTATCTGTTCTTTACCGCCCCCTATTGCCTACTCCTGAAGAAATGGATTATTAATCAAGAAACGGTTGAGCCATAAAATCATTGGTTGGAGAGAGTTCACAGAACATAAAGTTGGAGTGGTTTAGTCCACTAATTGTTAATTATCTAAACCATGATGATGAATTTGATATGGCAAACAGGGGTAGTCCTTGAAATGTTTGAAATTAATTTGTTTTACTGTTAAAATTTTCTAATAAAAAAAACTTCAGTATATAAAATGGGAAATTTTATGTTTAAAAGAAATGAATATGTATAGGATGTGGCACGGTCCTCACGCCAACATACCATAGAAATTGGAGAGCGAATGCTTATGGGCTACTGCCATTGACAAATCGGGGGAGATTTACTAAACCTGGTGCAGGCAGAATCTGGTGCAGCTGTCCATGGTATCCAGTCAGCTTCTAAAGTCATCTTCAGTTCAACCTCTTCCTGTCCGCCCATTGCACATAGACGGTGGACGGGAAGCTTTGCCAATGCGAGCTAATGTACCTGTATGTCAGCCTGCATCGATGGCTCCTGCAAGGCTCACAGAGCACGCACCCCAGAGCCCGGTGATCCGTGTGTCACCCGGACAAAGCGGATTACATTACTGCTGTGTCTGGGCATTCACATGGGTGTTTTACCATGTGACTGCTGTGACCAATCACATAGTAAACAATTGAAAGTGAATGTAAGGATCGCTTCTCTCTGCTCCTTGTGAGAGCAGAGAAGCGATCCTGCAATCTGTGAGTGTACAGTCTGACAGGCTACTGTACACTCACAGACTGCTGTTCCAGCCACGCTAGTGTCCCTGGTCAGTGCCCTAGTATATACATAATAAAACATGCAGCCAACCCCTGTCACCTTTCCCAGTGTGCACAAAAACACCCCAATATGCCATACCAATGTCCTGATCACCACCATACCAGTACCCTGATCACCACTATACTCCAAACCAACACCCTGATCGCTGCCATATGCCATACTAGCATCCTGATCACCGCCATACCAGCATCCTGATTACTGCCATGCCCCATACCAGCGTCCTGATTACAGCCATGCCCCATACCAGCGTCCTGATTACAGCCATGCCCCATACCAGCGTCCTGATTACAGCCATGCCCCATACCAGCGTCCTGATTACAGCCATGCCCCATACCAGCGTCCTGATTACAGCCATGCCCCATACCAGCGTCCTGATTACAGCCATGCCCTATACCAGCGTCCTGATTACAGCCATGCCCCATACCAGCGTCCTGATTACAGCCATGCCCCATACCAGCGTCCTGATTACTGCCATGCCTTATACCAGCGTCCTGATTACTGCCATGCCTTATACCAGCGTCCTGATAACCACCATGCCCCATACCAGTGTGCTGATTAATGCCATGCCCCATACCAGTGTGCTGATTACTGCCATGCCTTATACCAGCGTCCTGATAACCACCATGCCCCATACCAGTGTGCTGATTAATGCCATGCCCCATACCGGCGTCCTGATAACCACCATGCCCCATACCAGCGTCCTGATTACAGCCATGCCCCATACCAGCGTCCTGATCACCGCCATGCCCCATACCAGCGTCCTGATCACCGCCATGCCCCATACCATCACCGCCATGCCTTATACCAGCGTCCTGATAACCACCATCACCAGTGTGCTGATTAATGCCATGCCCCATACCAGCGTCCTGATAACCACCATGCCCCATACCAGCGTCCTGATCACCGCCATGCCATGCCCCATACCAGCATCCTGATCACCGCCATACCCCATACCAGCATCCTGATCACCGCCCCAGCATCCTGATCACCCCGCCATAAGCCCGCCCCATACCAGCATCCTGATCACCGCCATGCCCCATGATCACCCAGCATCCTGATCACCGTCTTGATCACTGCCATCACCGCCATACCAGCATCCCTGATCATACCAGCATCCTGATCACCCCCATACCCCATACCAGCTGATCCTGACTACTGCCATACAGGCATCCTGATCATTGCCCCCCATACCAGCTGATACTGACTGATCACCCCCATACCAGCATGCTGACTACTGCCATACCAACATCCTGATCACCTCCATACCAGTGTCCTAATCACCCCCATACCAGCATCTTGACTACTGCCATACCAGCATCCTACTGCCATACCAGCATCCTGATCACCACCATACCAGAATCCTGATCACCACCATACCAGCGTCCGGCATTTTAGGGTCTCAATTGATCAGTTTTCAAATATATATCCCACAGTTCGTAGACTCTATAGTTTTCACACAGACTATAATATACAGTGTTTGGGGTTATTTTTACCCCCAAAATGTAGCAGAATACATTTTGGCCTACATTTATGAAAGAAAAATGATTTGCAAACTTTTAAAACAAAAACGGAGCAAAAAATTATTTAATTTTTTTCACAATTTTTTTTTTTTTTTTTTCATTTGTATAGCAAAAAAATAAAAAAAACCCAGTGGTGATTAAATACCACCAAATGAAAGCTCTGTCTCAAAAAATGGATCAAAATTTCATAAGGTTACAGTGTTGCATGACTGAGTAATTGTCAATTAAAGTGTGATTTGTGCTGAAAGCTGAAAATTGTCCTGACTGGAAGGGGGTGAAAGTGTCCGGACTTGAAGTGGTTAAGCTTTGACCATAAAACCTAGAAGCGGATTGGTTTCTATGCAGAGCTGCTCATTCTGTGTGCACCAGTTTTAGTAAATCTCCCCCCTAGTAATTTTACTTGTTATGTCTTCTAAAATAAGCCTGATCGGACACTGTGACGATCCTGTGCACACGGTGCTTTAGGCTGCTTTCACACTGAGGAGTTTTTCAAGCGTTTTTGTGTTTTAAAAAAAAAAAAAAAAAGCCTGAAAAGCTCAAGAAAACTGCTTCCCTATGTATGTGAATGTATATCTGTGTATGTTTTCACACTGAGGCGTGAGGTGTAAAAACTCCAGCTTGCAGCATCTTTGGGGCATATTTGAGGAGTAAAAAAAAAAAAAAAAAAACACCCCAAAAATGCCTCTTCCCATTCATATCAATGGAAAATGCCTGAAAAGCGCCTTAAAAACACCACCTCTGAGAAGCATTTTTGATGCAGTTTTTAATTCACGTGTCCTTTTGTGGCGGATCAGTGTGAAAGTAACCTTACGGTGACATTTTATTTACAGCTTCCATATATTTGGATTTGTCATATTTAAAGTATTGATCCAAATGTCGGGAAACTAGATATCTTCTGTTCGGATGAGAAGAATAGCACAAAGTTATTAAAAGGGAAAACCGAGCTTGACGACACCTGCAATGAGGTTTCTGATGAATGAACTCATGAGTTGTCAAGTCTCAGGAGTAAGAAAGTTAAAGCGAATGGTTTTTATGCAGATTACTAGTCACAATGTACTGTACTGCCCAGCCGCAGCAGCTGTCAGAGTATCATAGTTTGACAGGCTGCTGGCAGTGGGGTTGGCTCCTGCAAGGCTCACAGAGCACTCACTCCAGGGCCCGGTTATCAGTGTGTCACCCGGACAAAACGTATCACGTTACCACTGTGTCTGGGCAATCACATGGTGTTTTATCATGTGACTGCTGTGACCAATCACAGCCCTCACATAGTAAACAATGGAAAGCGAATGTAAAGATTGCTTCTCTCTGCTCCTTGTGAGAGCAGAGAAGCGATCCTGCAGTCTGTGAGTGTACTGGGGGTGTGCAGGTGCCCTCCAGTTTCAGCTAAGCACCGAAGCCTCATGCAACCTGCGTACATAAGGCTTTTGTTTAAATCTGCCAGGTTCTCTTTAAAGGATACGTTCACCTTTCATAACATGTTACGAAATGGCTAGCCCCCTGCACAAACCCAGCCCATTCATTGCATTTCAGTTCTTTCAATTATGGAAGCTCAGCATCACGTATAGGTGTTGCCTAGGGTGGTCTGCGAGCGAATATATCCTACCTTGGAACTCCCCACTCCTCTACCTTGGAGCGCCCACTCCCCTACCTTGGAGCGCTCACTCCTCTACCTTGGAACGCCCACTCCTCTACCTTGGAGCGCCCGCTCCCCTACCTTGGAGCGCCCGCTCCCCTACCTTGGAGCGCCCGCTCCCCTACCTTGGAGCGCCCGCTCCCCTACCTTGGAGCGCCCGCTCCCCTACCTTGGAGCGCCCGCTCCCCTACCTTGGAGCGCCCGCTCCCCTACCTTGGAGCGCCCGCTCCCCTACCTTGGAGCGCCCGCTCCTCTACCTTGGAGCGCCCGCTCCCCTACATTGGAACGCCCGCTCCCCTACCTTGGAACGCCCACTCCTCCATACTGATCTCCACCCATCAAGGCATTTTGATATTTGCAGAACTCCTGCCAAGAGCCAGCCCAATGCTTTCATCAGGGCTGAGGGCTTTTGACAGCAGTACTGAGGCAGGGGGCTGTGATGTTTTCTGGAAGCTGTGTACAACATCCTATCAGCCCCTCCTAACAGCCATGATCTGCCTGTGTTGTATAGAGAAGCACTGTGACTCTGATGTCAGTGGGTCTTCAATAAAGTATGTAATTAAAAATGGAAATTATTTAAAATTTCATTAGCATGTTGTCGAAGGGGAAGGAGACCAAGGAAGGCAAAATATAAGCAGATTAAACTTCAGCTTTAAAGAAACCCTTTCCATATAATAACCGCTTTGCTTCATCTTCCCCTTGTGTAGCAAAACAAATGTGGTTTTTTTTTTTTCATGTTATCATCCACTTCAAATACTCACTGGGACCCCTTGCACAACATTTTAATGAAATAGGCCAGAATGGTCTGCCAAACCTTTTGGTGGCAGTGGTATAGTGCGGAAAGGGGGCAGCAGATGGGTAACCTCCATGTTATTCCTAGAACTTGATGTCTCTATCCGTAAAAACATTTAAATTTTTTAAATGCATAAATTGTTTGTTTTTCTTTGCTCTTATATAATATCTGCAGATAATGAAACTTGCATAGATGATGGAGATTTTGGACTTCACAGTAAGTAAAACTATCTTTTATCATTTGTAATTGCTGTGGTGCATGTATATGCAGTGCAAGAAAGGGCTTGGAGAAATAAATAAATCGTAAAAAATAATAAAAATTATTTTTTATGATGTCCCTGCTACATAAGTAGGCCACAGAGTCCGCCAAAGGTTATTTTATGCAATAGTTGGCCACATTTCTAGCTTTTATGGAACTGATTTATAAATAAAATGTATAGAAACCCTTCCTTTCTAGGAATATATATGCTGATAACACTAGAAGAGAAGATTTTTAGTACAGTCCGGATCCGGTCCACCATTTAGTGATGCCTGCCATACAGAGTTGTCCAGAATGCTTAAAGACAGCTGAAAAGATAATTGGTGTCTTGCTGCCGGACTTGGCAACTGACGTTGGTCCTTAAACTATGCAGGCAGCATCAAATAAGACCTCAGTCAGCCACAGCTCAAGGAACCCCTAGCAACATCTGGAGGAACCCAAGATTTCCGTGGCACCCTGGATGAAAATGGCTGCACTGTACTTTAAATAAATGAAAGAAAAATAGTAATGTAGGGGGGAGAAGCTGGGAACTGGTGCGAAGATTTCCTCACCAGAGACAAATTAAGTCATTGACTTCTCCCCCCCCCCCCCCCCCTTTTTTTTTTTTAATTAATCTGTCAAACACAATAATCTGAGTTTTGGGTGGACTGACTCTTTACGGTCACTGAGCAGTTGTACAAGCAATGCATTTTTTTTTAAATCTGATTTAATATGAACATGTTTAGGTTGTTTGTTGCAACTGATAACTTTCATCTACTTTGCCAGATGGTGTTGAAACAGTGGATTCCGGATGGCTGACATGTCAGACTGAGCTTAGATTACGTCTACATTTTTCTGAAAAGCAACCTGTTTCTATATCCAAGAAAAAATTGAAAAAGTCTAGGTTTAGGTATGGTGATAAATCAGTCTATTTTTTTTTTTAAAGTATAAATTGCTTGCCGTAGACGTCAACTAATGCTGTTTGTACAGACCTGAGAAGCAGACCTGGGGAAGGTGAAGGGCAGGTCTATTCTATCTAATGTATTCTATCTAATCTATCTATCTATCTATCTATCTATCTAATCTATCTTATCTATCCTATCTATCTTACTATCCTATCTATCCTATCTATCCATCTATCCTATCTATCCATCTATCCTATCTATCCTATCTATCCTATACTATCCTATCTATCTATCTATCTATCTATCTATCTAGCTATCTATCTATCTATCTATCTATCCTATCTATCTATCTATCTATCCTATCTATCTATCCTATCTATCCTATCTATCTATCTATCCTATCTATCTATCCTATCTATCTATCCTATCTATCTATCCTATCTATCTATCCTATCTCTATCCTATCTATCTATCCTATCTATCTATCCTATCTATCTATCTATCTATCTATCTATCTATCTATCCTATCTATCTATCCTATCTATCTATCCTATCTATCTATCCTATCTATCTATCCTATCTATCTATCCTATCTATCTATCCTATCTATCTATCTATCCTATCTATCTATCCTATCTATCTATCCTATCTATCTATCTATCTATCTATATCTATCTATCCTATCTATATCTATCCTATCTATCCTATCTATCCTATCTATCCTATCTATCCTATCTATCCATCCTATCCATCCTATCCATCCTATCCATCCTATCCATCCTATCCATCCTATCCATCCTATCCATCCTATCCATCCTATCCATCCTATCCATCCTATCCATCCTATCCATCCTATCCATCCTATCTATCCTATCTATCCTATCTATCCTATCTATCCTATCTATCCTATCTATCCTATCTATCCTATCTATCCTATCTATCCTATCTATCCCTATCTATCCTATCTATCCTATCTATCCTATCTATCCTATCTATCCTATCTATCCTATCTATCCTATCTATCCTATCTATCCTATCTATCCTATCTATCCTATCTATCCTATCTATCCTATCTATCCTATCTATCCTATCTATCCTATCTAATTTTATTTTAACCATTCTTTCGGAACTGGTCTATGTGGCAAACTTACCTTTTGTCCTATGGCTGTTTACATTTGCACTTAATGGTGGTTAAATGGATAAAATGGAGTTTATAAAGCGCCATTACATCTAAATGGCTGATCTGTGATACTTGTTTGCCTGCAGGTAACTCTGGGAATAGTGTTTTAAGTCTGGGTTCACACTGATGCGGTGCGGAATTTGCAGCTTTTTCAGTGCAAATTCTGCACCGCATCAGCATCGCACCCCGTTCATGCAAACCACTGCGGGTGTTTATGTTAACAACACTCAAAAAGCAGTTCGCAAAACGTGGTGCCATGTGCAGAATTGGATCGCCTGGGTGTGAATACCTATGTGGTCCGATTCTAGTGCGGACCCAAAAAAAGAGTTCTGCACGTTTTAGGTACGGGTGCGGTGCGAATAGAGCCATAAAAAATGTCCGGCTCCAATCACACTGCACACAAATCGCATGTGATTTGCACAGGCATGCGGTGCGGTTCCTGTGCGAATCACATGTGATATACCGCACCGCATATATGTGAACCCGGGCTAAATCTGCTCTTGATGTAACAGGATATATTTCTATTTATATAGATATATTTCTATGGTTAGCCATGGCCTGATAGTCAAGTACAGAAATTCCTAGGTCAAGCATCTGCAGTGCCTCTTTGTAAGCAGAAGCCCATCCTTTTACTCTTCTTTTTGGAAGAAGAAAAGCTAACTATCCTTGAAACAGATCTACAAGTAAATTAGTGTAGTGCAGCTAATAGTAAGTTCAGTAAACTCCATGAGCCGTGGTAAAATCACATCCCCATTGCTACGTGACAAATACGGTATATCCAGTTCTCCAAAAGTGCTGAAATTGGGCAGCCAAATCTGATCACTTATATCCCCCTTCGCGGTCCTTCTCTGGCTCCAGGGGCTGTTTACTCTCTTATGCGGGACAAAACCATTCGTCAAAAAGCATGGGTATGCATAGAAAAGACGCATAATGTTCTCCATATAAAACAATTTAATGTAGCCGAATAGATTAGAATAACTAACAGTTAAAATGCAGCAAGACTTTTACTATTGAATATTGCCAGCTCACCACACACAGAACTCAAAGATGGCCGCAGCATGACGTTACAGGTTCGGCTCTGCCCCCTTTACGCTTTACATCTTGTGAGTAGGTCAAAACTGCCCATTAATGGATCTTTTTTCTTTTTTTTTTTCTCTTCTTCAAATCGGCTAGCGAGCTTTTTAAAAGAAAACAAATGGATTCCCTTCACAGAATTTAGGCAGATGGAGGAATTGTCCCTCCTGTGCTATTGTATTCTAACAGCAGGGACTTCTCTACTTTCAGAATACACTGATCAGCAGGCACTGATCAAACAAAAGTTTTTCAATAGTCCCCTTTGAGAGAAGTTGATCATTAGAACGACTTATTTCAGGTCGGAACAGCCATAGATTACAATTTGGCCGACTGAATTTCTCTCCCGCTATAGCCAGCTTAAGTTGCTGTTCGCATTGGCTGAATATTGTAGCAAGATCTGGCTGTTTTTTTTCTAGGATGGGTCAATATTGCCTCACCCATCTGTGAGAATTTGATCTCAACTATTCCATCTATAAGGGCATGGGTTAACGGGCTTTTGTTTGAACCAGAACTACTTCTTTTCATACAAGTCAGTGGTGATGCAGCTTGAGGCAAGTTGCTCCAGCTTACAAGGAGGTCAAATATAGGTCATAAGGAGATCAGTTGCAGGTCAGATGGAACAGTCAGCGAATTTTGAATGACTTTGACACAGACTCCAAGCCCCGTAACATAGGCCTGGGGGGGGCATAGAATTGTCTTAGGTGTGTCCCTATAGCTACTGGTCTTAATGGATTAAACCCAGTCTGCCAGAGACAGTTCTTCCTTCTGACACCTTTACAAAGGAGACCCATTGCCATTAGCAGCACCGTTTCTGGTATATCAGAGTAAGGAGACATTTCAACTTTGATGAAAGGCTATTATTTTTTAATACAGAGGCTGTACGCACTTTCTTCCAGTGTAGGGGAATCTGAACACCTCTGAAGATCTTTGTCTGATGGATACGGGTTCTAAATGCTTAAAACAAAGGAATGGATCACCATAGATTGACCCTGGTGTGTTGCGGTCTGTGTACAGCTCTTTGATCTTTGCATTTTATTTTCTTTAGTTCAGTGCAATTAAAAGATCATTTTCATGGCTGGAATGTATATTCTTTAGTTAGAAGTAGATTTCAACCAACCTGCCATCTGCTGAGAACTGTACAAACAGCATTACTAAACCCAAATAATTTGCCAATTAGAACTACAATTTACTACGTTTTAGATGGAACTTGCCACAGACAGCACTACAGTTCATGTATACTATAGACCAGTGGTCTCCAAATTGTGGCCCAGGGGCCAGATGTGGCCCTTTTGCTGGACTTTATCCAGCCCTTTGGGCACCATTTCATTCACTGACACCAATAATGGGGCACCATTGCTCCCAAAGACATTAATATTGGGCACCATTTCTCCCCTCAATACCAATGATGGGGCACTATTCCTCCCACTGATACCAATGGTGGGGCACTATTCCTCCCACTGATACCAATGATAAGGCACTATTCCTCCCACTGACACCAATGATAAGGCACTATTCCTCCCACTGATACCAATGATAAGGCACTATTCCTCCCACTGATACCAATGACGGGGCACTATTCCTCCCACTGATACCAATGATGGGGTACTATTCCTCCCACTGATACCAATGATGGGGCACTATTCCTCCCACTGACACCAATGACGGGGCACTATTCCTCCCACTGATACCAATGATGGGGCACTATTCCTCCCCACTGATACCAATGATGGGGCACTATTCCTCCCACTGATACCAATGATGGGGCACTATTCCTCCCACTGATACCAATGATGGGGCACTATTCCTCCCACTGATACCAATGATGGGGCACTATTCCTCCCACTGATACCAATGATGGGGCACTATTCCTCCCACTGATACCAATGATAAGGCACTATTCCGCCCTTGAATATCAACAAAGGGGTATCGTGGCTCCCATTTAATACCAACAATTGAGCACTATTCCTCCCACCAATACCAATGTTGAGGCATTGTTTACTCTCACTAATGTTGGGGACAGCCTGACATGCCCCCCCCCCCTTCTTAAGCCAGATCAGTCAGTAAAATGGCTTACAAGGTTTGTAGACCCCTGCTATAGACCCTTAAAGAAAACCTATTGGGTAAATTACTTTGCCACATAATTGGATTCAGTGGACCTGGGAGGCCCTTTGCCTAATTTGGAAATAAGTTGTCCACCTCTTGAACTGAAGTTTGACCCTTGCACTTTTAACTGTATAGAGCCTCTGTGGTCGCAGAAGTAAGGCTTGATTCCAAAGGTGGACAGGTTTTGTCACCAAGTTGGACAGAAGCCTAGGCCTTCTGTGCAGCAGTGCACAGAATCCAAGCACTTTCCAGGTTCCTAGGTATGGATTGGAGGATTTGTGTTGATAATCATTGATGTACCTGTTGGGTTCACTTTAATAATATGAAGATTGTAGTGGGTTACATATGAGTTTAAATCTTCACATAATATGTAACCTTGTTTGCATTTAATCTGAGAGGATTAAATTAATTGCATTCTCAAAGCATTCCAAAGCAATTAAAATACTATTAAACACTCAGTAGAAAAATGTTCATATGTAAACAAACAGGGCTGACCACATTCCATGTAGTGTGACAGCTAATAAACCCACATGAGCAAAATATGTGCTGCGTAATAAAAGTCATTTACCTATAACAACCAGAGAGATGCCACTAAATTTTCATAAATAATCAAACATCCCGTCAAATGTTAACTTGGATACACATCGTGTTGAGGATTTTAAACTCTTAAATGTCTACTGTTATATTTACAGGCTTAAATAGCATTATTAACCATTTGCCGCCCGCCCTATGGCCGAATGGCGGCCGGCAAATGTCATCAGCGTTCTGGGTGGACGCCATATGGCGTCCTCCCGCACATGCGCAGATTGCGCTCCTGCAGAGCCGCGCAGCGGCGCGATTTGTCACCGGCCGTGTTCCTTGGACACGGCCCATGACAGATCTGAGTATCACAGCAGGTCACATGACAGTTGTATACAATGGATGGCTTCATTCATGCCATCCATTGTATACTAGTGCCTAGCTGTGAATGGTCGCAGCTAATCACATGCACATGTCATGTGATTAGCTGTGGCCAAATCACAGCTAAGCACAAAAAAAAAAACCCTAAATGAATCGATGTCATTCAGGTAAATGCTTGCTTATAGCAAAGTAATTCTTTGCTATAAGCAAATTGTGTAAAAAAAAAAAAATACTGATCACTTCCCCAAAGTAGTACAATGGTAACATTGTACTACTTTGGTCATAGTGAAATATGAAAAAAACATCTTAAAAAAAAAAAAAAAATAATAATATAAAAAACAAAAAAAAAAAAAAAAAATATATATATATATATATATATATATATATATATATTTTTTTTTTTTTTTTTTTTTTTTTTTTTCATACTGTCACCAGTCAGTGTCCCTGATCACCGCCCTGCCAGTTATATGATGACGCTGTACTGCACTGGTGACAGTATGTAAAAAAAAAAAATTGTGAAACTAACTTTTTTTTTTTTATTTTTTCTTTTTCTGAAAAATTATGACAAAAAAAATACAACTTCAAAAAACTTGCCATGCCTCTTATGAAGTACGTCGGACTGTCTACTTTGCAAAAAGGGGTCATTTGGGGGATATCTGTACTGTTCTGACATTTGGGGGATATCTGTACTGTTCTGACATTCTTGGACCTCAAGAAATTAGATTGGCTGTCAGTACTTCAGGATTGATCAATTTTCAGATCTATACCATAGTTTGTGAACTCTATAACTTTCCTACAAACTAAAAAATACATCCTAATTTGGGTTATTTTCACCAAAGACATGTAGCAGAATACATCTCAGCCTAAATTTATGAAGAACAATTATTTATTTGCAAACTTTTTTATAACAGAAACAAAGAAAAAACGTGGGTTTTTTTTTTTCAAAATTTTGGTCTTTTTTTTTTAATTTAGCAAAAAATAAAAACCCCAGCGGTGATTAAATACCAGCAAAAGAAAGCTCTAGTTGTGTGAAGAAAATGATAACATTTCAGTTTGGGTACAATGTTGTATGACCGCGCAATTGTCATTCAAAGTGTGAGAGCGCTGAAACCTGAAAACTGGCCTGGGCGGGAAGGTGTAAAATTGCCCGGTATGGAAATGGTTAAACATATTATTGCCCCTGTTATTTTGTTGTTAAAGTGGTTGTAAACATGTATACCCAGTGAAGTGACTAGCCTCAGGTGATACACAGAGATTAAACAAATCCGCCTACATAAGATGTACCTGTTTATCTGCTTTCCTTTCTGCTCTACAGCCATTCAAAATGCAGAATTTCCCTTTTAATTTGGACTACAAGAGGGGGAAATGTCCTCCGTTTTTTTTTTGGTGGGACTTTAACGGCACAATTTACTTGTATGATAAATTTCAACAATTGAAAAGAGATTTTTTTTTATAAAACAGTATGAAATTTTATTTTTACAATCTTCAAAAATAAATATAAAGCTACAATACATATTACGGCGGTGTCATCAGAGATGGTATTGCATATCTAATCATGGATCATGCATGGTTCGCACTTGACGCGTTTCATCAACAAAAATCTCTTCTTCAGAAGCGCTCAAGAAGTGACGTATGATTACATGTGAGGTAAAAACCGCCTGGAAATATTAAGAACAAATTGTTATGTGAACACAGCCATGGATCTCAGGCAAAAATGATGAACCAAAAATTAATAAAGAAAAAACTGAGACCAGTGGATGAAAAATGGCACCCAAACGCCTCCTGAAGGGGCCCCGCCCAAATGTACCATCAACAAGATTACCTACTGGTTGGTACTGATAGGGCAGTGCTACTATGAGTGCGAAGTGATGACCACAAGCAATTTGCGTGAGAAAGTGTTGGCTCACAGCCATCAAGCATGCTTCTTTGGATAGACCTGGTCATCAACACTTTCTCACGCAAATTCTTTGTGGTCATCACTTCGCACTTTGTGTATTATATCCCTTCCTCTCTCTATTAATTGGACTAAGACTGGACGGGTTTAACAATCTTCAGAGTTAGGGATCCCCTCACTTCCTTAAAACTTTTCCTCCATTGGTATATATGCCATAGAGAATATTAAGGCACTATATTTTTATCTGCTTTTAAAACATTTATTAAACATAAAGTAGTGCACTCACATGCTGATAAAATCACTTTAAGATCTACAGTGTTTGCTAGCATTCAGTTAAGTATACTTGCTGTGTGACTGCCTGTCTCCTTAAGCGTCGTGACGTCAGAGCTCCTCCAGATTCCCTCTCAGGGTTTTGTTTGCTCACATTTGCAAATACATGCGTAAACCACATTCTCGCGTCAAGGGTCCTCTGTTTACTGTGGACCTAACTCTAAAATTTCCAGAGCCTCCATAGTAGGAGCGCATATATCAATGGATAGGTTAAGGGCAGGCGTGCCAGGAGGAGCCCATCCCTCTTTAAAGGTACAGGGACGCACGTGACGCCCAGCTATAGCAAAATGACCGTAAAGGCACCCAGTGCTTCCCTGTGTCCAAATTAGTCAAGTACACAAAAAATGGCAACCGTCCCAACCTTTAACCAGGTGCACATGGAAGGGCAATGCACATCACGAACAAAGGATTTCCTAGCAACTCTTACTAGCCAGCCTGCAAAGCAACTAATCTGGCCCTGTCTAACAGTTTGAGTTAAAAACAGAGGGTTTTTCTTGCACACATTTGCAAATTTCACTTGGGAAATCCTTTGTTTGTTTGTGATGTGCATTGGCCTTCCATGTGCACCTTACTGCTAAGGCTGGTTATAGGTTGGGACAGTTGCCATTTTTTTGTGTAGTTAAAACTAGTGTGCGCAAAATCTGGTGCAGCTCTGCAGAGAAACCAATCAACTTCCAGGTTTTTTTTTTCAAAGCATAATTGAACACGCTGAAGTTAGAAGCTGATTGACTGCCATGCACAGCTGCACCAGATTTTGCATGCTTCAGTTTTAGGAAATCAACCCTATAGGGTAGACAAATATCAATTCTCGTGAATGTGCTGTTTTTTTTTTTTTTTTTTTCTTTGCAGATCAACGTATTCATGAGAATTCACAACTGGTGATTCACATGGAAATTAGCGGGTCTAAATAACATCAATAAAAAAAAATTGCTAGTTCATCACTGTGACTGATATCATCCTTTTTTCATTCAAACCGTTAACGTGACACATACCATTCTAACATTACCTGTGTATAGAGGCTTTTGTAATGTTCCTTTTTCTGTTTCACAGCAGTCTGGCAATTTTTAGATAGCAGCTGTGAAAACTCATTGTAGAAATCAGACAATTGAAGTAGAAGTAGAATTCCAGACATACGCTAATGTTAAACCTACTCCCACTCCCATTCTAAACCTATTCTATCTAATCCCCCAATATGAAGCCGGTCCAGTCTAGTCCAAGGAAAAGATCCCTATACTTACCTATGAAGCCGGTCCGGTGCAGTCCAAGGAAAAGATCCCTATACTTACCTATTCTGAAGCCGGTCCGGTGCAGTCCAAGGAAAAGATCCCTATACTTACCTATTCTGAAGCCGGTCCAGTCCAGTCCAAGGAAAAGATCCCTATACTTACCTATTCTGAAGTTAGTCCGGTCCAGTCCAAGGAAAAGATCCCTATACTTGCCTATTCTGTCAGCTGTGGCTTCTGTATAGAGGAGGGGCAGCCGACAACAGATGCCCCATTGTAAGTCTATGGGTGACATCCTTTCCTAGTCCTTTCCAGCCATGGTTTGGTTTTCTCTCCTTCATACAGAAGCTGCCCATGGAGACCAAACCAGATTGGCTTCAGAATAGGCAAGTATAGGGATCTATTCTTAAGAGCTAGTGTGCATTTTTAGAATGGGGGTGGAAGTAGGTTTAGCCTTAGTTATCTGTTGACTGGAATTCCAGTTTAACATCGAAACTCACACACTTTTTGGATACACCATCCATATTTTCCCAATTGGGGAAAAAAGGAATGAATGACGATAAAGTGAAAGTAAATAAAGCAGTTTTTTACATTGAGTTTTTTACAGCTGCTATCTAGAGATTGCTAGAGAACTGTGACATGAAAAAAGGACCATTAAAGGGCTCATGACAACACTTATGCACAGGTAGTGGCCCTTGAAGTAAACCCTTACAGGGTCAGTGCTGTACAATACATCCTTTGTTGTCTACATTTAGGTCCCTGGTATGTTAATAAGAGAACATTTTGTGTTCACTGTTATGAGTTTCTAGCAAGAGATTAAAAAAAAGCTGCTTGATTTTCTGGGTTTAAAAAAAGCATAGAAGGAATTTTATGTGGCGAACTTAAATAATTTACATAAACTGTATGTCTGTACTGACTTCACAGCTGATGTCTTGCTGCTTTGTTCAATTAGGGTGAAGCTGTCACTGGGTGGCCTTGAAGAAGAGGGTGAAGAGGAAGATCAGGATAAGCCCTCCCCTATTTTTCTTCCAAAGATGGCTAGCACGTTTGATATCTCTTTAATAAGCAACACAGAATACAAATCTCGGCATTCCCAGCCAGAATGTGGTTATGCTCTCCAGCAGGACAGATGGACAGAGTTCAGTATACACACCATGGAACCAGACAACTTGGAGTTACTGTTCGACTTTTTCGAAGTGAGCGTTTATTAAAGTTTATTTTTATACGGGGACAACTACATTTGTCCTGAGGACAGAAGTTGATGGTTACATTGTCAGTCAGGTTGAAAGAAGACAAAGTCCATCTAGTTCAACCAACATGAAAAAAAAAATATATAACCTCCATATACAGAGTTCCACACACTTTTGATTGAAAACGGGGGTGTCAAACTCCATTTCATCATGGGCCGCATCAGCATTATGGCTGCCCACAAAGGAACAGTTGTATCTGTAATACTAGATGGCCGGAGCACCCCCCCCCCCCACTTACATCAGATGTCAAGAGCTGCCCCACCATCAGAAGTCAAGAGTCCACCACCCTCCCTTACATCACAGTGCACCTCCCTTACCTTGTGCTGATGCTGGGAAGAAGGTGGGGGCAGAGTTGGGAAACATAAAATGCAGGGTCTGGAGGGGGACCAGAGAAGAAATTTATGGTGGATTGGGTATAGGGAGCTTGTAGGAGAGGGTTGAGGAGGATCTGATGGGTGGGTGGGTGTTCATTGATGGGCAGAAACAATAGTGCAGCATGCAAGACTGGATCATGGAAGGGAAAGAAAAGGCAGCAGGAGCACATAATAGCATGGTGGAGGAACACAGCAAAGGGTTAAAACTTTGCAAATGGAAAAAGCTCCGTAAGTCCATAAAAGTCCAGCATAAAATCAATTTAGTCCTGCGATCGTTTCCAAGAGCACACTTATGGCAGCCACCCCAGAGTCGACAGCAGCCTTTGTAGTAGTAAGCAAAAAGAAAGAGAGGGGGCGCCATATAAGTGTAGCATTAAATGACATCCACTTGATTAGGAGGCAATTGGCAACTCGCTCAGTAAAATACATCACAGGCATATCTCCACTGAAAACCACTGCCTCTCCCATTTACGTCTCCTTCTTCATGCCTCCCCACGCTTTCTCAAGCCAAAGAAAGGAACAGAGCATGAAGCTCCAAAACGCGTAGCCATGCCCACAGGACAGCCCAGTGTGACGTCAGCTCCTCACCTGCACCCCTGTGGGTGGTTATCGGCACTTCCAGTCCTGACTTACAGCGTCTATAGCTGACTACACAGAGACGGTGACTGCAACAGCGGGAGGAGGCTCAAATGGGAGAGGCAGCAGTTTTCAGTGGAGATATGTCTTTGATATATTTTACTGAGTGAGTTGCCAATGTCTCTTAATAAATTGGATGTCATTTAATGCTACTTATAGTGGCGCCCCCTCTCTTTCTTTTTGCTTACTACTACAGAGGCTGCTGTCGACTCGGGTGGCTGCCTTAAGTGTAAATTGGATGTTATTTAATGCTACACTTAGCTGGCGCCCCCTCGCTTTCTTTTTGTTTAGCATGGTAGAGAAGCATATTAATGAATTATCGGACATTTGATCGGACATTTGATTTGTGCTTTAGAGCCTGTCTAGACTATGACAGCCAAGGGCTGATTTTAGATCTTCCTTGAATTCTAAAATAACACTTGATTTTCCCCTGCAGTCGAGGGAAGAAATGCAATCAGTTTGCTCTTCTATTAAGTTTTTTTTTTTTTTCCTCATTGTTCCTTTTTTTTTTTCCTGCCCCTCTTATAGGAAGATTTGAGTGAAGCTGTGGTGCAAGGTGACGCACTCCCAGGTCATGTGGGCACTGCTTGTCTGCTGTCGTCCTCCATCATGGAGACAGGGGAAAAGCAACGGTATCCTTACACTCCCAATCATGAGCAGGAACGGCAGACAGGCTCTTGGAAAAGTTCGAGGTATCTACTTTACTTGACATTTTTTTTGTTTTCCCCCCCCCCCCAGGATGGGTGTCAGTTGAAACGCACTCCCAGTTTTCTTTTTTTTTTTTTTTTTTTTTTTAATTGTCTGGGCATCTTTTCTGTGGGAAAGAAAAATCTTCAATTTCACACCACAGCCTACATTGTAACAAGCAAACTAAACACCAAGCCCACTCACTTTTTCAGTCTTTGACACAATTTACTATTCTGAAAGGAACAACAGCCTGTCGCTGAATATGCCAACTAGTTCAGACATGGAGGTGTTGTCAGCAACGTGCTCTGCAACTTTGTGCTGTGTGTTGCTTAGAGATGTAAATCCATGCACTAACCACGACATGCAAATATTTATAATGGGCTGGATAGATCATCCTCATTGGAAGTTTAATGTAAACATTTACTCAGAGGGGAATGATGGGAAGTTGGCTCAATTCCAGGTCCAAGGGATATGTATCAAAGGTGTGGTATTCTGATAGTCATGTATTTTTAGAGAGAACAACTATTGTGTTGTTTCAGTTTTACTATACCATTTGTTGATTTTCTCTCATTCAGCCCTAAGCCTGAAAAGAAGAATATCCACTGCTGGCTATTGCGTTAAGGCAGCCATGGCCAATACAGTTGTACTGCTGAACAATGATTGCGTCTGATAGGATGTAGTCATTGCTTGACCAGTAATACACAACCCAATATCACCCACCCAACTTTGTCAGGCTTTTCTTGCTTGTTTGCTGTATTAGAGCATCACAGTGGTTGAATGGGGTTAGTGCCTTGCCGCACTGGGGTTCCTGGTCTGGACTCTGGATGACAGGTCTGTGTCCACTCCGTGTATGCAGACGGACAGACCCCGCTCTGCTCTATGGGCGGCCCGGTGTAAATAGACTTCGCTGTACATTTACACCTGGCTGCCTCCAATCTGGTATGCCCAAACGGAAGAGAACGTAGTCCTCCATTATTTATTTATTTTATAGCAAGTTTGAACGGACCTGGAGGTAGGGGAGTGTAAATGGACACAAGTCCATTTACAAATGCCAGTTCATACAGCTGCATTGGCCATCTAATTAAGAGTGCCTGAAAAACTGACAGGTGGACCTGATTGGATCACCCATGTGAAAGGGCCCTAACTGCATGGAGTTTACATGTTCTTCCTGTGCTTTCCTAGTTTTTTTCTTCAACACTGTGGTTCTCCTCCCCTCCCTTCAACTACCTGCTGGTAGGTTGATTGAATCCTGTCTAAATTGGCCCTAGTGTGTGTGCCTGTGTCTGTGAGAAAGGGACCTTGGATTGTATGGTCCTTGAGGGCAGGGGCTGGTAAGTATACAGTATGTAAAGAAGTGACATCAGCTATGTGTGTGTGTATGTATGTATGTGTGTATGTGTATATATATATATATATTATATATATATATATATATATATATATATATATATATTTGTGTGTGTATATACAGTGGGGATCGAAAGTTTGGGCACCCCAGCTAAACATTTGTATTAATGTGCATAAAGAAGCCAAGGAAAGATGGAAAAATCTCCAAAAGGCATCAAATTACAGATTAGACATTCTTATAATATGTCAACAAAAGTTAGATTTTATTTCCATCATTTACACTTTCAAAATAACAGAAAACAAAAAATGGCGTCTGCAAAAGTTTGGGCACCCTGCAGAGTTAATATCTTGTACTGCCCCCTTTGGCAAGTATCACAGCTTGTAAACACTTTTTGTAGTCAGCCAAGAGTCTTTCAATTCTTGTTTGAGGTATCATTGCCCATTCTTCCTTACAAAAGTCTTCCAGTTCTTTGAGATTTCTGGGCTGTCTGTCACGCACTGCTCTTTTAAGGTCTATCCATAGATTTTCAATTATGTTGAGGTCAGGAGATTGTGATGGCCATGGCAAAACCTTCAGTTTACGCCTCTTGATGTAATCCCCCGTGGATTTCGAGGTGTGTTTAGGATCATTATCCATTTGTAGAAGCCATCCTCTCTTTAACTTCAGCTTTTTCACAGATGGCATCAAGTTACCATCCAAAATTTACTGAAATTTTATTGAATCCATTTTTCCTTCTACTCGTGAGATGTTCCCTGTGCCACTGGCTGCAACACAACCACAAAGCATGATTGATCCAACCCCATGCTTAACAGTTGGACAGAGGTTCTTTTCATTAAATTCTGTGCCCCTTCTTCTCCAAATGTACCTTTGCTTATTCCGGCCAAAAAGTTCAATTTTAACCTCGTCGGTCCACAGAATTTGTTTCCAAAATGCATCAGGCTTGTCTATATGTTCATTTGCAAAGTTCAAACGATGATTTTTGTGGTGAGGACGTAGAAGAGGTTTTCTTCTGATGACTCTTCCATGAAGACCATATTTGTACAAGTATCTCTTTATAGTGGAATAGTGTACCACAACTCCAGTGTCTGCCAGATCTTTCTGGAGGGATTGTGCAGTCAAACGTGGGTTTTGAATTGTTTTTCTCACAATCCTGCGAGCTGTTCTGTCTGATATTTTTCTTGGTCTTCCAGATGTTGCTTTAACTTCCACTGTTCCTGATGACTGCCATTTCTTAATTACATTCCGAACAGAGGATATTGATATCTGAAAACACTTTGCTATCTTCTTATAGCCTTCTCCAGCTTTGTGAGCGTCAACTATTTTCAGTTTCAGTTTTCTAGACAACTGCTTAGAAGAACCCATGGTGCTGATTGTTGGGGCAAGGTCAGATGAGTCTGGGCATTTAAAACCTTTGAGAATGACATCATCTGGTCTTCCCAGACGATGATTGAGAACAATCCATGACACTGGCAGGTCTCAGCTTTGCAAAGGGGGCAGTGCATGCTATAAATTCTGCAGGGTGCGCAAACTTTTGCAGACGCCATTTTTTTGTTTTCTGTTATTTTGAAAGTGTAAATGATGGAAATAAAATCTAACTTTTGTTGACATATTATAAGAATGTCTAATCTGTAATTTGATGCCTTTTGGAGATTTTTCCATCTTTCCTTGGCTTCTTTATGCACAATAATACAAATGTTTAGCTGGGGTGCCCAAACTTTCTATCCCCACTGTGTATATATATATGTGTGTGTGTGTGTGTATATGTATGTATGTATATATATATATGTGTGTATATGTATATATGTGTGTGTGTGTGTGTGTGTGTGTATAATGTACCGTATTTTTCGCTCCATAAGACGCACCTAGGTTTTAGAGGCAGAAAACAGAAAAAAAAATTCTGAACTAATGGACTGCAGACACAGTACAGGAGATGACCAGAGACTGCGGACAGCACAGGGATGACCAGAGACTACGGACAGCACAGGAGATGACCAGAGACTGCAGACATAGTACAGGAGATGACCAGAGACTGCGGACATAGTACAGGAGATGACCAGAGACTGCGGACACAGTACAGGAGATGACCAGAGACTATGGACATAGTACAGGAGATGACCAGAGACTGCGGACACAGTACAGGAGATGACCAGAGACTGCGGACACAGTACAGGAGATGACCAGAGACTGCGGACACAGTACAGGAGATGACCAGAGACTGCGGACACAGTACAGTAGATGACCAGAGACTGCGGACACAGTACAGGAGATGACAGAGACTGCGGACACAGTACAGGAGATGACCAGAGACTGCGGACACAGTACAGGAGATGACCAGAGACTGCGGACACAGTACAGGAGATGACCAGAGACTGCGGACACAGTACAGGAGATGACCAGAGACTGCGGACACAGAACAGGGATGACCAGAGACTGCGGAGAGCCCAGGGATGACCAGAGACTGCGGACACAGTGCAGGGATGACCAGAGACTGCGGACACAGTACAGGAGATGACCAGAGACTGCGGACACAGTACAGGAGATGACCAGAGACTGCGGACACAGTACAGGAGATGACCAGAGACTGCGGACACAGTACAGGAGATGACCAGAGACTGCGGACACAGTACAGGAGATGACCAGAGACTGCGGACACAGTACAGGAGATGACCAGAGACTGCGGACACAGTTCAGGGGATGACCAGAGACTGCGGACACAGTACAGGAGATGACCAGAAGACTGCGGACACAGTGCAGGAGATGACCAGAGACTGGGACACAGTACAGGAGATGACCAGAGATGACCAGAGACTGCGGACACAGTACAGGGATGACCAGAGACTGTGGACACAGTGCAGGGGATGACCAGAGACTGCGGACACAGTGCAGGGGATGACCAGAGACTGCGGACACAGTACAGGAGATGACCAGAGACTGCGGACACAGAACAGGGATGACCAGAGACTGCGGAGAGCCCAGGGATGACCAGAGACTGCGGACACAGTGCAGGGGATGACCAGAGACTGCGGACACAGTACAGGAGATGACCAGAGACTGCGGACACAGTACAGGAGATGACCAGAGACTGCGGACACAGTACAGGGATGACCAGAGACTGCGGAGAGCCCAGGGATGACCAGAGACTGCGGACATAGTACAGGGATGACCAGAGACTGCGGACACAGTACAGGAGATGACCAGAGACTGCGGACACAGTACAGGAGATGACCAGAGACTGCGGACACAGTACAGGAGATGACCAGAGACTGCGGACACAGTACAGGGATGACCAGAGACTGCGGAGAGCACAGGGATGACCAGAGACTGCGGAGAGCACAGGGATGACTAGAGACTGTGGATAGTACAGGGGATGACTGCTGACCTTTGGGGAGGGGGGGGAGCGGGTACCTGAATTTGACAGATACCCGCTCCCACTTCCGCGGAGTTGTTCTTTCATCTTACCTGTTCCTCTATCCAGCCGCGCGCTGTCTTCCCGGCTTCTGTAATGGCGCTCGGCATGACAGCCGGGTGCCCAATGCGCATGAGCGAGACGCACTTGCGCTTTGTGATTGGTCCGGCGGCTTCTGGGATCTGTCATGTGTCCCAGGTGCCGCCTTACCATTCACAAAAAGCACCGCTTCCTGCGCATGCGCACTTGGCACCCGGCTGTCATGCCCACACTACAGAAGCCGGGAAGACCGCGCCGCTGGATAGAGGAACAGGTAAGATGAAAGAACAACTCCGCGGAAGTGGGAGCGGGTATCTGTCAAATTCAGGTACCCGCTCCCCCCCCTCCCCAAAGGTCAGCAGTCATCTCTATAAGGTCCCGCTGTAGAGCTGAGCGGCCGGCCCGGTATTCTGACACGGCGGCAGTGGGAATACCGGACCGGCCGCTCCATATTCGCTCCATAAGACGCACTGACATTTTCCCCCCTTTTTTGGGGGGAAAAAAGTGCGTCTTGTGGTGCGAAAAATACGAATAAATACGGTATATATATATATCTGTGTGTGTGTGTGTGTGTATATGTACATTATTATTATTTGCATTGATCATACTTATTCTCTTTGCAGTTGACTATATTCTCATAAAGCCAATAGATGGTTATTCCTGTGACGTGCGAAGCTCTTTCTGCAAGTATTGGAAGCCAAGGACTCCACTTGATGTCGGACACAGAGGAGCCGGCAACTCCACCACGACTAAAAAGTGAGCTGCATAGCGTTTATACTCAACATATTGATTGAAGCAAATAGTCATTGTTTCTTAAAGTGTATGTAATTCCTAATAATGAACTTCTTCTCTTATTTTGCTATGTTAAGTATGCCATTAATACGCTTTATTATGACTGTTCAAGAAGTGCAAAACCATGCGTTTGATCCTGCAAGGATTTCATTGCTGTCATGTGTGCTCTGTAGTGTTAGTCACCCGGTTCACCTCTGGATTACAGAACATCTCCACCTATGTTATGGTGATGGGAAAAGAGAGCTGGGGAGCTGACAACACTGCTTTATGAACAGGGGCGGACTGACAACTCATGGGGCCCCCGGGCAATAGGGGATCATGGGGCCCCTGTGTCCTTGCCCAAACTCAAAAAAGCCTATGAAAAAGATACCAGGGGCATCTCATGGGGCCCCTTACTGACCCCGGGCCCTCGGGCAGTGCCCGAGTTTCCAAATGGTCAGTCCGCCCCTGTCCATGAATGAGTGTTGTCACCAAAGGATAGGCAGTGTTACTGACAGAATCAACAGGTACAAATAAAGGTAAATTCATACACCTTTTTTATTTTTTTATTTATTTCTATCTGCAAAGACACTAGGGTGCTCAGTGATTTGGTATGTCATAGCTTTCTTTATAAATTGTATCTTCACAGGCTGTTAAATGGGCTGCACAACCTCACCTAATTTATCTGCTTGCTAACTGTAGAATATTCGACACGTCCATTCTGCTCCGATCTGTGTCTAGAACTTGCGTACATATACAATACATTTTATATATATATATATATATATATATATATATATATATATATATATATATATATATGTATGTATGTATGTGTATATATATATATATATATATATATATATATATATATATATATATATATATATATTTTTTTTTTTATATATATATATATATATATATTATATTTTATATATATATATATATATATATATATATATATATATATAATGATAGGTTGATCACAGTCAATTCAAATAATCTTCCACTTCAAGACAATTATTCAGCACAACAAAGAAAATCCATTTGGTGAAATTCAACTGCATTCTCCACAGAGTGTTCTTTTCCAATAAAATTGTTTATTGTTCAAACCATTTAGGGCAGTCATATTTTCCTTTTATAGGAAACAAATGCAAAGCAGGGCGCACTCTCATCGTGCATTACCGTGGTGAAACACATTTATTTATTAGCATATACATGCATACTCGCACACCAAACAGAGAAGAGTAGTCCGTAATACCAGTCCAAAGTGATGGTAGACTCTTTTTATCCCTCTTTGGTTTGTGAGTATGCATGTATATGTTTTTGTTTACTAGTACCAAGATTTCCCGATCTTCTAAGGGCTGCGCCTCAACGCATGGCATCTAAAGTTATCCTAGTCTGCATGAAGATTTGAGCGCTGGTTTCGTTTGTTTATTTCTTTTATAGGAGTCTGATTATAAATGTAATATGTTTATGGTGAGCAATAGAACATATGAATGCGGTTATTTACTGTTTGTTTTTTTCCAGAATGGCCAAAATTCGAGAAAACACAATCGCATCATTAAAGAGTGCCGCCAATCATGTAAGTTTTTGGGTGCATGTCCTCTTATACTTTGTCATACCCCGTATTGAACCGCAAGCCATAGATGACTCAATTTTCCTTCCTTCTGCTGGGTGGAAGAAAAGAAAATTGCTTGATTGCCCCATCAGCACGGTCAGTGTTTGAGGGGAATCCCTCCCGCAGAGCTATTGTGTTCTGCCGGCAGGGATCCTTCCTGGCCAGCAGAACACAATGATTACTGCTAGCAGCTATAGCCACCAGCAGTAATCACATGGAAAAAGGCCTGGATTCTTTCTTGGATACACAGAATATAACTGGATATAACATTTATAGGTAAAGTTGATCCAGGGAATATACAATTGCCTCTCGGGGGATCAGGAAGGAATTTTTTTTCCCTGCAGGAGCAAATTGGGTCATGCTTTGCTGGGTTTTTTTCCTTCTTCTGGATCAATTGTGAGTATAGGATTATAACTTTTTTTTTTTTTTATGGTTGAACTGGATGGAATTTTGTCTTTTTTCAGCCAGACTAACCAACTATGTAAAAAAAGAACAGCAAGCTGGTTGTACTCAAGTCGATCGATGGATCAATTTGGGTACGGCCAGCCTGCCCATATATGGATCAAATCTTTTCCAGTTCCTGCTGTACCAGCTGAAATTTGATCCATCAATGGCAGGCTTTAGTCATGTTCATATTAAATGAGACCCCTGTAACATATGTACTAATGGTATTTATACTAATCAATGAGCTAATCATGTATTCAGAGTTAATACCTTGAAGATTGTACAAGTCTGCTTTTGTCATCAAGAGCAGTATGGGATTATGGTTTTTTTTTTTTAAAAATTTTTAAAATCATACTTACCTATGCGAATGCAGCATTGATCTGATGCTGCATCTGTCCCCCGCTGGCTCTAAGGCTGAGGACAGAGCGATCAAACACAGCTGATCGCCCAGTTCTCCCCAACACTCTGAGCACAGAGTGGTAACTATCAGTCACTGCTGTTTGCTCTGCTCCCTCCCCTCCAGCGCTCACTGGAGTGCTGGGCTGTGGAGGGGGTGGGAGCGGCTGACTCAGGTGCCGGTCTGGTCTCCTGGGTGGATCCTGATCATATGGTAGCAATCTTTTTCCCCAGCCTGGATCGGTTCTTTGACATCAGCCGACAGTGGATTTTAGCCTGCTGTCGGCTGAAAACGGGTCACAGGCGGGCAGAGCAAACTGCACTCCTGTGATCGCGCTTTGGCTGTACTTCTCCTTTAAGAATAAGTTTAAAGCTGAACTTCCCACAAAACGCTAAATACATATTAGGAATCTGTTTTTACCCGACTCTAGCCCTGAGATTTATTCTGCCCTACAGCACAACCAGGTGGATAACATTCCTTACCATTACAGATTACAGAGGTCTCTTCTCTACTCCTGCTGAAAGGACACTAAAAGTACAGTAGAAAGCTGATAAGGTCATCTCCCTACTCACTCTATATCTTCTCTGCATCAACCTAACTCTGCTCAGGAGCAAGGGCGGACTGACCATTTGGAAACTCGGGCACTGCCCGAGGGCCCGGGGTCAGTAGGGGGCCCCATGAGATGCCCCTGGTACCTTTTTCATAGGCTTTTTTGAGTTTGGGCAAGGACACAGGGGCCCCATGATCCCCTATTGCCCCGGGGCACCATGAGTTGTCAGTCCGCCCCTGCTCAGGAGTTTTCTGGAGTCCTCTAGAGATAATAGAAGGCTGTTAGTGACTCAAACCTTCCAAATTTTTTTTTTGTATTTCCTAGTTTGCAGAAGTTCTCTTAGCCTCATTAATGGAGTTATTTGCTTTAAATGCCTCATAGCCTTCTCTGTGTCTTATTTATTGGCAGTGCGATAGCTGCCTGCTGTTATTGCCAGATAGGTGAGATCATCAGTATTACTCACTTCAAAAAGTATTAGAGATCCATTTCACTTGTTTTAGGCTCATAATTCTCTTTTTGGCATGCACGACCAATTAAAAATGTTATAAAATAATGACCCGTATTTGCACCATTGTTTGTTCAGTCATACTCTTACTTTTTAATATTGCAAGGGATCCGTTCTTCCGAACTGATATTTCAGTTACAGGTGAAGGCTGTTGAGTAATCTGTTGCTTGCATCTCTTGGGGACTTCAGGGGTAAAATCTTCCACTCTGTTCACATGTCTATCCCTTTAAGTTTCCTGCAACAGCATTGGTGTTGCACTCCTCAGGTAACATTTTTCCTAATATGAAATCAAAGATTCAGCAGCAAAGTGAATCCCCATGAAATGGCCATTGCAGACCTGTGAGTTCCAGCACTAAGATTCAGAGGCGTCCCTAGGGTTGGTGTCACCCGGTGCAGTAACATTTGGTGACACCCCCTCCGACGATCCCCGCAGAATGGATCGGATCTGCGGATTGAGCATAATGGATCGGACTCCGATCCATTATGCTCAATCCGCAGATCCGATCCATCCTGCGGGGGTCGTCGGCTTTCTTTACAACTTACCTTTTCGTGGAGCGGGTCCGGGGTCACCCCGTATAGGTTGCATGCCGATGATCCCCGCAGGATGGTTCGGATTGAGCATAATGGATCGGAGTCCGATCCGTTATGCTCCCCAATCCGCAGATCCCATCCATCCTGCGGGGATCGTCGGCACGCAGCCTATACGGGATGACACCGGACCTGCTCCACAAAAAGGTAAGTTGTAAAGAAAGCCGACGATCCCCCGCAGCCGGGTGCCCACAATGAAGATGTCGGGCAGAGAGGACGGCTGGTGAAACCAGCTGTGGTCAGCACACCATTGGTTTGAGGAACAGTTGAGTGTCCTGGTTTTTTTTTTTTTTTTTTTTTTTTTTTTATACGTTCGCAGCTACAGTTTTTATTGCAGCTGCTGACTTTTATTATTATACAGTATTTATAAAGCACCAATAGTTCGCTCAGCGCTGTACATTACAAAGGGGGACAGAACATGTGACAGAACAATACCAATACAATGCAAAACATGAGGGGATCGAGGGCCCTGCTCTTTCGAGCTTACAATCTAGGAGGGAGGGGATGGTGGCACAGGAGAAGATAGCTGTGGGGGATGGAGTGGTAGGAAGAGTGGAGGAGGTCGGCAAGTTAGCAGGGGGTAGGCTTCCCTGAAGAGGTGGGTTTTCAGGGTGCGCCTGTCACTGACCTCTTTCTGATTCACCAATGCCTTTCCAGAGATTTGGTGACCAAAACTGAATTGCATTTTCAAGATGAGGGTGAACCAGTGTTTGTAAAAGAGTAGAATTATTGATTTTTATTTCTGGAATTTATGCCCTTTTTTTTAATGCATGAGAGTATTCATGTGGCGATTTTAGCTGTGGCAGCTGATAAGATAATATGGCTACAATCACCTCAGGATGCAAAGTAAAGTTGGCCTACCATATTCTCATGGTTTTGTGTTCATATACTGTAAATAAAAATACAATCATCAACTTGTGAATGAATTGGTTAAAAAAAAAATTTCAATGAATACATTTAAATATTTTTCTCCTTTTAGGGTGCAGCTTATGTTGAGTTTGATGTCCATCTGTCCAAAGACCATGTCCCAGTGATATATCATGACCTCACATGCTGTATATCTATGAAAAAGGTATTGATCTTTAAATGTTTTCTTTGGTGCTTTGCTTTCTACTCACTGGAAACTTTTTATCTTTGAATTACTTATTTTTTTTCCTTTTTGCCAAAAGTGTAATTCCAGGCAAAACCTGAGTTAAAATTTTACTCCCACACCCATTCTAAGCCCATTCTATTTACCCTGTAAAAGAAAAGATGTCTAGACTCCCCTATTATGAAGTCGCTCCAGTCCGGTCACATGTTTGGGTCCCAATGTAGAGGAGGAATAGCCAACAACGGTTGCCACATAGTAAGGCTATGGGTGATGTCATTGTACTGCAGCCATTGTTGCTGCTTTCACTTTTAAGGTGGGACTACACTACCCTTTCCTCGCATTCATTTTTTTTTTTCCTCCTGCTTACCTGATGTTGTGTTGATTCAGACACTCACCCACCCAGTGGATGTATCGTTGTCCTGCTGAGATCCTCTTCTCTGCAGGCGCTGCTCAGGTCCCATGCCGTTATGTTCTCCTGTGACATCAGATGGCTGACCGCTCTTCCAGGTTCAGACTCAGTCTCCTGATGATGCGCTTCTAGACCCGCCCCGCTCCTCCTTTAGTGAATGCAATCACTGAAGTCCTTCCGGTGCCTCCTTGCATATGTACATCACATATGCAAGGAGGCACCGGAAGTCATTCGCCTAGGCGAGGAGGGAGCGTGGGGGGTGGGCCGAAAACTACCAAAAAATATATAAGTACGTAAACTAAACAAAAAAAAAAAAAAGACAGATACTTGTGGGGAAGGGATGGAAAGAAGGAAGCTTATTTTAATGGCTGAAGATTCGCTTTGATTTTATCTCATTCATAGCAATGTACTGACCTTCCCCTGGTTCACATGTCTGCAGCTGTGCGGGCCGCGTTTTCATTTGAATGGACTCCCATGCCCGTGATACGCAGTCCCTGCACGTCTTTGGAAAACACAGCCCGCACAGGAACCTCGGTTCCCAGTACGTTGCGTTTTCCAGTGCGGGCAGCGTGCCATTAGAACTAATGGCACCCGCCCACGGGTCCGCAATTCTCTGTGGGGTGGTGCGGCTGCACGGATTTCCGTGCGGATCCGCAGCGGCACCACACGCACAGATATGAACCTAGGGTGAATGTTAATCTGTAGTTTAACAGTTCTACTGAATTGCACAAACAGAAGCTTTTACTTTCCGATTAACTTTTAATGAAACCTGTGAACATTTTCCTTCAGAAAGCTAATGCTACATCTCTGGAGCTGTTTGAGATCCCAGTGAAGGAGCTCACCTATGATCAGCTTCAACTCCTAAAGGTAAATAACTTTTTTAGTATATCTAGTAGCAAAACTGGCAACAACTTCTCCATAAGGGCTCGTTCACACTAGGCTGTTTTGCCAACGCTTGCCTATCGCCCCTATAGCGTTTGGCAAGCGTTGGTCCGGCGTTTGCGGAGCGTTTTTTAACGCTCGGCAAACGCTCCGCAAACGCCGCATGCGCGGTTTAGCGGCGGTTGCTAGGCGTTTGCCGAGCGTTAATAACGCCCCACAAACGCCTATAATGCAGTTTTGAGTGGTGTTACCGCTCCGCAAACGCCCCGCAACCGCGTCGCAACCGCACCGCAAACGCCGGCCGGGCGTTTGCGGAGCGGCACTATAGACGAGAATAGGAGGCTTCAAAGCCTCCTGACTCGTCCAGAGGCGTCCGTTTTGCCGCGACGCGACGCAAACGCTCCCGTTAGAACAGCACCATGTGCTGTAATGTGCAGAATTGGCAGAGGCGTTTGGGAAGCGGTAAAAACGCTTCCCAAACGCCTCTCTGCCGCCTGCACACAAGGCTAGTGTGAACGTAGCCTAAAAGAGTACACCAACACTTTTAATAACTTGTTAAATTAAAGGCAAATTTGTCCTTATTACATGTTCATCAAATTAACGAAACAAGGCGTGAGAAATAATGAAAACAAGTACAAGTAGATAAACATAAAAAAGAAAACACATCACAGATGTGACGATGATCCATGTGGGTAGGTGAAAATGATTCCATACAACAGAAAGATGGAAGGATCAATAACACATATTACGGAGATATGAATAAACAGAGTTTCAAGGGGGGCATCCCCAGCAAGATGTAAGGAACAAAACGAAATAGCTCCGCATGATCAAGAGTATAAACCCAAACTAAGAAAAAAGAGAAGAAAATATCAGGATAAGAGAAAAAAAGAGAAGTCAGTCAGTTGTAGAGATAGAGGGGGTTGGGAGACGGGAACGGCAAAAAGCAGAACCAAGGCTGTCCTCTACCAGGATCCCACCAATTTGTTAAATTACCATTCACCTGTGAATTTGCTCCAGTCTGGTTTTGACATGTGACTGTCCATTCAGCTGCTGCATCTGCATCCACTTTTATGGGCTGCCTGCATACAGCTCTGAGGTGATGTCAGCCAACAGCAGACTTTAGCCCATGTTTGCTGAATACATGTCACAGGTGTGCAGAACTAAGTACAGTAGAAGTAGCGGCAAAAGAACTTTGGTCCTACCTTTCCTTTAAATTGTTTGTTTGGGCCAAAGTGGCCCAAATAAACTGTTTTTTTTTACTAAGGGATGTTCCTGCTGTCAGCGCTATATAAACTATATGTAGCATGTTCTGCAGCAACCTGGGAACTTCCTATCTGCTGCCAGAACAAAACAGTTGGGTTGGGCTGAGATCTTCTCAGCCATTCACAGGAAGTCTTGTATTTTTCTAAATGAATACAAGCCTTACTCTTTTTGGCCGAGGTTTAGAGCTGGGTGTATGATGTCCAGATCTTCATCTTGGCCAATCAAAGGAAGCCTTGTAAATCAATAATAAATACAAAAGGCTTCTTGTGAATGGCTGGGAAACGCTCCTCCGAGTTTTTTTTTTTTTTCTTTTTTTCCCCAGCAGGTAGGTGGGAGATCCCAAGACACTGTCAGAACACAGTGATACATACAGCGTATACAGCACTGACAGCAGGCGCATCCCTCTAATATTATACAGGATTTATTATATTTTACAGGATTTATATAGCGCCAACAGTTTGCTCAGCGCTTTACATTATAACAAGAGACAATACAGCAACAATACAGTTCAATACAAGAGGGATAGGAGGGCCTGATCCTTGGAGCTTACAATCTAGGAGATAAAGCAATAGCATCTGTAGTTGTAGAGATGTAGAACAACATAGTCCATAGAATGGATATCTCGGTTTTAAATGGAGCACCAGGCATAAGGTGAAACATTATCATTTATGTAGGTGAAGCTGTTAAAATATAGTCTCTTTACAATGCATATATTTATTGTTTTTTTTTTTATCTTGCTTCTATTTTTTTGTTTCTGTTCAGCTGGCACACGTGAATGCGCTTAAATTACAGGATCATCATGGTATGTAACAATGTGCCTGCTAATTCTTGTGTTTTTGGGAAATTCTTCTCTTCTGCTAACGTACTTTGTTTTGCTTGTCTTGTTACCTTATAAATAATCACTTTGTATTTATTGCTTTGCTAAATAGATTATGACCCGTCACATACGCTCCATCAACAAGCACACCACACTACTGCACTCCCAACAGCTCCACATGCCTCAAATTATTGTTACAGCAATAAAGACCTGCTAGACTACAGTAACTGTAAAAATGAACAATGCATTGTAATAAAAAGTTCTCTCTTGCTTTTTAAAGCATAGGTTCATCTTCTGGACCATGTTACATGTTCCACCCGTATTTAGGGTGGAAGATGTAACATGTTCCAGCTCCTGCTGCCTCTCTCGCTGATCCCCTCTTCAGTGTGATAGCAGGCGTAGGACCTACTTCCCAAGCCCGCTGTCACAATTCAGAAACAAAGTGGCCATGCAGGCTCCATCCATGCAGCCTCACAGGAAACTGTGAATGAGTGAACTACAGGTACTGTCAGCCACTATGTCAGGTGGCTTGTGGTTCTGAATGAACCGCAAGGGCACTGATGAGCTCTCTTGTAGTTCATTCACAAGCCCTGCAGCTTTCAAACTGACAGCTCATATGGAAGTATGGGCTGAAAGCTGCAGAATCCTGACATTGCACCCTGACCCACTGACTAGGAGTATAATGCTTTCCAGGCCCCTGCAGGAAAAAATAGGAAAATGCACTTTCTGCAAAAATATAGTATGTGCATTTATTATTTTTTTTTTTTTTCTAAAAAGGTGAACTTGTCCTTTTTAAGTTGCTTAGCTGATATAATTTTACAGTATTGTTTACTCCCCATCCTTTTACCTCACTTTCTTTCTTTTCTTGAGTAACTGAGCTGACCATCAACTTGCACTCTGTACAATCTCCGCCCTATCGGATATACCAAAACTATTTAATAAGATTTACAAAGATTTTTCCTCATTTCAACTTGTATCTTTTCACTCAGGATCTTTAATTTCACAGATCATAAGAGCATTGCATGATGTATTGTCAGTTTAAGACCGAAACTGAATAGGTGGGCAGTATGTAGTCTGATCAACAATGTCTTCTGGTGAAAAACAAACTGCATGGATTGCAGCACCATGCAGCCATCCAGTAACCCAGGGAAATGTGCAGAGAAAACTAAACATAGGATGACCTCTTTCTAGAAATGCCTGTTGTCCAGTTCTCCTGGTGATTTAAAGTGATTTCTAAAGGCTTTTAAATAAAAAAAAAATGCCTATACTTACCTGCTGTGTGCAGTGGGTTTGCACAGAGCAGCCCGGATCCTCCTCTTCTCGAGTCCCCCACCGGCGTTCCTGGCCCCTCCCTCCTGTCGGGTGCCCCCACATCAAGCAGCTTGCAATGGCGGCACCCAAGCATGTGCACTACCCAGCTTCTGCTCCGTGTGTCAATTCACACACAGTGCCGTTCCTCGAACCCACCCCCTGTTTCTTCTCATTGGCTCGCTGGCTGTGATCGACAGCAACCAATGAGGAGAGGGAGTCTCGGGATAACCGGGACTCTAGTGCACATCGCTGGATCGAGAGGGGACTTGGATGAGTATTGGGGAGGATGCTGCACACAGGAGGTTTGTTACCTTCGTTCATAGAATGCATGAAGATAAATGACCTTGAGCCTTTACAAACACTTTAATGATCTTGGTGGTTTCTGAGTAAAGCCAGCCATAGAGTGATAATCTTTGCCAGATCAGCAGGGACTGGCTAAGATTCAATTCATCTATGGACAGGCTGGTTGTACTGAAGTCGATCCATTAACTTCAGTACAACCAGCCTGTCGGATTTTTTTGCATGCAATCACTGTGGGCGACTATAGCAGCCCGCATTAGTCCTTGTGTTCTGCCGGCAGGGAAACCTTCTTGCCAGCAGAATACGGTAGCGCATCAGGAGGGAAAATTGCTCAAATTCCCTATCAACACAGTGTTGATGGGGGAATCGAGCAGTTTTCTTTTCTTCCACCCATGGTGGAAGGAAAGTAAATTTGTATAATCTATGGCCTGCTTTACTGACCTGGAGCAAGCATGTAGCAAGTAAAAACCAAAAGTGATGTTGGCATATCTATTTGTTTATAACCATCTGTTCCAGGTCAGTAACATGAGGATAATTTGGTAGAATAACCCTTTGATGAGAACCAATTGATGAAATTTTTTTTTTTTGCTTGTTCTCACCTCTCATTCGATCTTTTCTTCTTCTTCAACTCCTCCAAACCCTAACGTGTTTTTTTTTTTCTTTCCATTCGCCTACAAATAAATGATCGCTGCTATTTTCCTAACCTTTTTAGATTCTGTAGATGAAGAATGTTCTGTATCGGACAACCAGCCTTTTCCTTCCCTTCAAACGGTAAAGCAGAGTGTTCCACACTTCATTAATTATATGCCCACTTGTAGGCTGCTGTGAACACAAGATGTTCTTGGCTTTCTATGCGGCAAAGAAATGCTATTCTATAATCTGCTAAGGCTTGTCATACTAGAAACTCTGGCGATCCTTAAACCTCTAAGGAGAGATTGTAAAATGTAACCTCTCTGAAGTTCGATCATAGAATGTTTAAAGCATAAATCACCAAAATTCGTACAAATTAATACTAAATATACAAATAAATGCTGCTGCTCATCAGTGCAAACCCACACCAAAAAATTAAATATAAAACATTAAAACAGCGCAAACATTTTTTTAAATAAATCCCACTGCAGAAAAAATTTTTTATATTATATTATATATATATATATATATATATATAAAAAATTATAAGTCCCACTCCAAATTGGTGAAAAAATGATTATATAATAAAAATTATAAAAGAAATCAAAAAATGTATAAATATTCTTGAAAGTCCTCTTCCCAAAGAAATAAGTCTTGCTTCCACCAAAAATAGTGCTCAGAGAATCTCCCATACACAAGATGGCCCCCTGGAACGCCACATGCCGGCGACGCACAGTCTGTGAAAACGCCCTGGAGGAGGGGCGAAACGCGTTGATGCATTTCCGGTTCCCCTGCCATATGTAACAGGTCCCTTCCGGTGAGTGGACCGCACGCCGGCTTGCAGCGTTCCAGGGGGTACCTGTGGGTGGCTACCTCCCCCCCAAAATATACATTCTGTTCGAAATGTGAAAGGGGGGGTTGTGGAAGAGCTAAACTTCCACTTTTAGGTGAAGTTTCGCTTTAACTTGGTTAGCAGTTTTAGGATTTAGGGTACTATTAGTACAGTAGCTCAGGAAAGCTTTCATTCACTTTGCAGTTTTGTTTTCTAAGAATGACTGGCTGTTATTTAAAAGCCAGAAGTTTATTTTGAGACTTCTGGACTTTCTAGATGTCCCAGATGTATTGACTGTATGTTTTGTTTACGCCATCTGGCTAACATAACTGTCAATTTTGCTTCTCTTCAAAGGTGCTGGAAGGCGTGCCTGAAGATGTTGGGTTCAATATTGAAATCAAATGGATCTGCCAGGAAAAAGTAAGTTAAACTGTGTAAAGGCAGTCTAAAATAAACATCAAGACAAAATAAAAACAAAACCTATGCAGTACATCTCAGCAATACATGCACATTTGGCCATGTTATAGCCCCTTTAACCACTTAAGCTCCGGAGGATTTTACCCCCTTAATGACCAGGCCATTATTTACTATTTGACACTGAGCTGCTTTGTCTTGGAAATTCGCTTTTAACGAATTTCTCCTTACCGTGAGTACTCGCAGTTGGATGCGCAGAAATCCCCCATAAAGCTGTGCGAATCTCGCTTACCGTGACTGCAGCTAAACTCCACGATTCCTGCGCCTCCAACTGGTTTAGCTCTGTTGAGAAAATGGAGCTCCCGTTACCCAGGAATGATCGGACGATACTCTCTGGTTGCTGTTGGAATTCACATAGAGACTGGCTCCAATCCCAGCCTCCGGTTTTATTACAAGCACACACACGCCCCCCACATGAGTCAGGTCAATCCCCTCCCACAGAACAATGCATGGGGAGTGTCTATACACAGAATGTACATTCCAATTGGAGCGTAGCCTTTCCTCTTATCTATACTGGGAGCCATTTACACCAGTCCTCCCCTCCCCCCATGAGCTCTCTGGGGAAAGCAAACTTCCCATATCCTATCAGCTCCTAGTAGTATGTACATTGTCTGTACAAGCATCCCCTAGATTAAACAGTGTCAGTCTGTATCTGAATGGGCCCGATACGATCTTTATTAAAACACATCCATCCAGATACAGTTCAGGTCGGTAGTGGTTTGTAAGATATACATGAGCCTACACGCAGAGTTCGCACTGCCTGTCGCCTGGCCATACAAAGTCCATGTGGTACTATGCTGCTGATATGTGGATACAGGCCCGCGGCCTACCGCCGGCGGCATTCGCATCGAATGCCGTGGTGGTATACACGCCGGTCTATAAGCGCAGATCTGCCATCTCATCCATTACCGAGCTGAGTACTGTAACATATACATTGTAAATGCGCATGGCCCAATTGCAGCCTTCAGAGCTTTAATTAAGCCACACGAGAGACATATGAATAACACTCATATATGACACATTTAAAGTTCAACCTGTAAATACAAAATTTCCATGACAAAAGTAACGCAGCGCTGTATTACAAAAAGTGGCCTGGTCAGAAAGGGAGGGAAATTCTCTGGAGGACAAGTGGTTAAACATAAATGCAACTTTTTACTCTAGAATTTTTATAATTTCTTTTCTGCCTTGCAGAGTGGTAAATGGGATGGTAATTTATCTAGCTACTTTGACATGAATATCTTCTTGGATATCATTCTGAAGACTGTCCTGGAAAATGCTGGCAATCGAAGAATTGTGTTCTCTTGTTTTGATGCAGATATTTGCACAATGTAAGTTGCATAATAGTTCTTCTCATTAGAAAATACATTGCCGACTATATGTAAAATCAATCTGGGAATTGCTATTGCTATACAAGTGTTGGGAGAAATCCCAGGCAGTTTTCAATTACATTTTACTGTATATAAAGTGTTTCAGATAGACTTTTTTTGGTGATGTAAACAGCACTTGCATCCTTGTCTCCATTATGTGTTCTGCAACCTCCCTCTCAAGCTCAGATATCTATGATTGAGGCTGCATCGGTTTCAGAAAATGGATAGTGTTTGATGAACAGTCTAGCACGCCTTTTTACAGGATCATATTCAGGGCTGCTATGGAGATGAGGATATAGGTATCCACAGAGGTGAGAACCTAAACCAGCTAATAAATGGCAGCATGAAAATTGAAGGCTTTTTTTTTTCCTTTTTTTTTTTTTTTTTTTTTTTTTAACCCAATCCAAAAGTATTTAAGTGCTAAAGTATTACAGGGTTTCTAAATGAATTTTTTTAAAATAATAAACATGTCCTATTTACCTGCTCTTTGCAATTGCTTTGCACAGAGCAACTTCGATCCTCCTCTTCAGGGGTTCCCCACCGGTGCTCCTGGCTCCTCCCTCTTTTTTTAATTCACCTCATAGCAAGCATGTTGTCATGGGGGCATTCATGTGGGCTTTCTCCCAAGTTGTGCTCTGTGTCCCTTGACACACACAGTGCGGCACAGCCCCACCCCCCCTGGTTTCTCCTCAAGCCAATGACTCCTGCTGCTGCCTCGATCTCCAGTGAGGGAGAGAGAGAGAGACGCTGCTCTCGTGCACATTGCTGGATTGAGATCGGGCTCAGGTAAGTATAAGGGAGGGCTTGGGGGAGGGGAAGCACACAAAGTTTTTTTTTTTTTTATATATATATATTAATGCAGAGAATGCATTAAGGTAAAACAACCTTTAGAACCACTTTAATTCTGGAAATTCTGACCATTTCTATATCAAAACACCTAACCGTGGAAACAATGGTTTATTGGCCTAGTGCAGTGGTGGGCAACCTTTTTTTTCAACTGAGCCAAATCTCGCCAAAACCACGATTGAAATTTATTTTGAGAGCCACATTTTTAAAACTGAAAATACATCCCCCATATAGTAATTCATCCCCCATATAGTAATTCATCCCCCATATAGTAATTCATCCCCCATATAGTAATTCATCCCCCATAGTAATTCATCCCCCATATAGTAATTCATCCCCCATATAGTAATTCATCCCCCATATAGTAATTCATCCCCCATAGTAATTCATATAGTAATTCATCCCCCATAGTAATTCATCCCCCATATAGTAATTCATCCCCATATAGTAATTCATCCCCCATATAGTAATTCATCCCCCATATAGTAATTCATCCCCCATATAGTAATTCATCCCCCATATAGTAATTCATCCCCCATATAGTAATTCATCCCCCATATAGTAATTCATCCCCCCATATAGTAATTCATCCCCCCCATAGTAATTCATCCCCCCCATAGTAATTCATCATCCCCCCCCCCATATAGTAATTCATCCCCCATATAGTAATTCATCCCCCATAGTAATTCATCCCCCATATAGTAATTCATCCCCCATAGTAATTCATCCCCCATATAGTAATTCATCATAGTAATTCATCCCCCCCATCCCCCACATAGTCCCCCATAGTAATTCATCCCCATATAGTAATTCATCCCCCATAGTAATTCATCCCCCATATAGTAATTCATCCCCCATAGTAATTAATCCCCCATATAGTAATTCATCCCCCCTAGTAATTCATCCCCCATAGTAATTCATCCCCCATATAGTAATTCATCCCCCCTATAGTAATTCATCCCCCCTATAGTAATTCATTCCCCATATTGTGTCAATTCACTTACCTTTGCTCCGCGCGTTCCTCTCGCCGTGTTCCCGCGCCGTTCCGATCTTCAGGGCGGACTGTGAGAGGAGAGGAGTTCGTCACGCTGCCCCGCCTACATCCTGGCTGCCCCGCCTACATCCTGACAGCCAATGTTTGCCACGCTCCGCGGGCCGGATTAAAAGGTCCGCCGGGCCGTAGTTTGCCCATTGCTGGGCTAGCTGCAGAGTCCTGACTTTTGGGGCGGCCGCCCGAGAGGAGGGAGGGGAGCGGGCACCCGGCACACAGAAGAGCCGCATTAAAGAGTGTAAAGAGCCACATGTGGCTCGCGAGCCGCGGCTTGCCGACCACTGGCCTAGTGCAACCTTTTTTAACTAGGGCAGGGGTGTCAAACTGGTGGCCCTCCAGCTGTTGCAAAACTACAAGTCCCATCATGCCTTTGCCTTTGGGAGTCATGCTTGTAATTGTCAATCTTGCAATGCCTTATGGGACTTGTAGTTTGCAACATCTGGAGGGCCACCAGTTTGACACCTGTGAACTAGGGTTTTCATTAAACCCAAGGGTTCCTCCTGATGTTGCTGATGGTTCTTTGAGCAGTAAGAAATGTCGAATTGGTCTCCTAGTCTCCTACATACACTGACCAACAGTATAGGTGAGGGCTGCTAGAGGGACCTCTAATCTTTGGGGACAGCACAATGTTTACTGCATTTCTTGTCAGTTGTTTATTTTCAAGATTATACACGCACCGGCTACTTTATTAGGTACATCTGTTCAATTGCTTGGTAACACAAACTGCTAATCAGCCAATCGCATGGCAGCAACTCAATGCGTTTTAGGCATCTAGACGTGCTGAAGATAACTTTCTGAAGTTCAAACTGAGCATCAGGATGGGGAAGAAACTTTGACTTTGAATGTGGCATGGTTGTTGGTGCCAGACAGGCTGGTCTGAGTATTTCAAAAACTGCTGATCTACTGGGATTTTCACGCACATCCATCTCTAGGGTTTACAGAGAATGGTCCGAAAAGGAGAAAATAACCAGTTGTGTGGATGAAAATGCCTTGTTGATGTCAGAGGTCAATGGGCAGACTGGTTGCGGTGACATTCAGATGGTAGGGTCAGAATTTGGCGTAAACAACATGAAAGCATGCATTGATCAACAGTTCAGTCTGGTGGTGGAGGTGTCATGGTGTGGGGGGAGATTTTCTTGGCACTAGCACGATGTACCTAATAAAGTGGCCGGTGAGTGTAATGTGACTGTTGTACAGAGCAGGAGTTGTGCAAAAAATTATCTCCCCAAGGTGTGAAATCTGATATATGATTTATTCACCTTCATAAAATGTTCTACAATTTAATGATCATGCTAAAGTTCTGTGTCCTGTAGGTATAGTGTTTTTTTTTTTTTTTTATAATCAGGGGTTCCCTGAGACCCGAAAAATATTTCAAGGATTCCTCTGGGGGGAAAAGGTTGAGAAGCTGACCTAATGTGTTGCATCGGCATTGAGCTGCTGATTCTAGTCAGTATGTGAAGCACCATAGTGCTCTGTATGGAAAATTATGTCCTTAAAATGGAATTCCAGCGTATGCCGAACTAATTCCCCCCCCCCCTTCCGGTGCCTTTTTGGGCTCTTTGGTTCCACCAGCTTACCATAGCCAGAATATCTGGAAAGTCCCTGATCATCTCTATGGTATAGGAAACTGGAAGTGATGAGTATTTTGTCGCTTCCGGTTTTGCCAGGATGTAAACAAACCATTAGTGGCTTTTGAAAGCATCTGATGAAACCAATCTTAGTTTGATCAGATGGTTTTCAGGGCTGAAGAGGGATCTGGGGTATAATAGACCCCAAATCTCTCTATAAAGAGGACCTGTCACTGCGCCAGTTATCACAAGTTATCCTAGTAATAGCAATAAAAGTGATCAAAAAAAAATTAGAGACAGTGTAAAAAAAGGAAAAATAATTTGTCTCCCCATTCCCCCCACCCTCACCCCCCACCATGCTCGCGTACAAAGGCGACAGCTATGTAAGTCCCACACACGTATGTAAACACTGTTCACACCACACATGTGAAGTATTGCTGTGAACTTCAGAGTGAGAGCAATAATTCTAGTGCCAGATCTCCTGAGTAACTCTAAACTGGTAACCTGTAAAGGCTTCTAAAGCGTTCCCTATAGAGACTTTTAGGTACCGTAGCTTTACACTGTTCCAAGGGTGTTTGCAAAAGTGCGGCACGTTTGGTATCAATTTACTCTGTGTAACATCATCTTACAGTTTACAAAAAAAATGTTTTTTATATTGTGCCTCTGTTCACTAAAGTTCATTATAGTATATTTTTTTCAAAAAAATTTGCTTTAAAAAAAAAAAAAAAAAAAAACACTGCGCAAATCCCATGTGACATAAAAAGGAAAACATGTAAACTCCATGCAGATAGCATCCTGGTTGGGATTCGAGTATAGGTTGCCAGTGCTGCATGGCAGAAGTGCTAACCACTAAGGCCCGTCTTACAGGGCAGAATCCACTTGCTCACTGGGGTATCTGTCTATTGATCCCCCGCTGAGCAGAGTGGGTGGATGAGAGGTCCGTGTATGCTTCGCTTGACACAGCCTGCTCTGCTGTACGGGCGGTCAGGTGTGAATGGACTGGCTATCAGTCTACATCCAACCACCCTCCGATCCAATCTGCCCAGACGGAGGGGAACGGATCCCCTTCCATTTTTTTTTTTTTTTTTTTTTTTTTTAGCAGATCAGATTAGAGGTAGGCGGGGTTAAAACGACACAAGTCCCATTTACATCTGCTGCTCCTTTAGAGGAGAATGAGGGGTCTGCCTGAAAAACAGACAGACGGACCAGATTGGACCAATTGTGTGACCTAAGGCATCACTCTCCTCTGTGCCCATCAAATTCCAATCCCACCATTTTATTCTCTAGGGCCTCTGCTTAAAAAAACAATGTTTGTGGGTTCAAAATACTTTTCTAGCAAAAATGCAAAGAAAGATGATTTTTACATGTAGGAGAAAAATGTCAAAATTTGCCCAGTAGCCAAGTGGTAAAAACAGAGCGAACTAACTTTTGTGAGATTTAAGTTCCGCTTTACAGCCAACTAAGAACTCCAGGCAAAAATGTTTATTTTTTCCTCATGTAGAGAGACTGTGCCCACATTGCATAAGTTAACTGCTCGTTTTTATCTAAGGTTGCAAGGAAAGCCTATACTTACCCGATCCCCCGATCCTCCGGAAAACTGCACTCCCCTAAGTCCAGCTGTGGACTGTTCCTTCTGTCCGCACTTCCAGAGCCGGTCTATGGGCATGATGACGTCAGGAACAGTCCATTCACAAGACTGTTAGCATGAGAGAGAGGGCAGGAGCTGCAGGGACTGGTCTTGTGCTTGGAGAATTGGCGGATTAGGTAAGTAAATCTCCCCTCTGAAATCCCCTAGACAAAAACGAGCAGTTAACCTGTGCAGTGGGAAAATAAAAATTTTGCCTGAAGTTCTTCTTTAAAGCGGAGCTCCACCCAAAAGGGGAAGTTCCGCTTTAAAGACTGGTCCCCCCCGCTCCCCATTAAGGATTGGCATCTTTGGGGAGCGGGCGGGGGGGGGGGGGGGGAGCACGGGTATTGAATTTGACAGGTACCTGCTCCCACTTTTGCTTCTGTTACGGTCACCTAGGCGATTGGAAGTGGAAGGTGTCCTACCCTCCTCCCTCCCCATAGTCTTTTGGGACACGTGACAGGTCCCAGAAGACTACCGGACCATTCATGAAGCGCAGCACTACTCGTGCATGCGCAGTGGGCACCCGGCTGTGCAGCCGCAAGCTGTCACAGCCGGGTGCCCACACTGAAGATGCCGGCGCCCACGGAGAGAAGACGGCCGGTAAAACGGGCTGCAGGGGACACACTGTGGGACCGAGGGACAGGTGAGTGTGTGTTTTTTTTAAAAGTCAGCTGCTACAGTTTTTGTAGCTGCTGACTTTTATTTTTTGACAGTGTGAGTGGAACTCCGCTTTAAGCCATTTAAACATGTTCGACATAAAGTATATCGTTAATAAGTCTTTGAATATCATAGCAAAGCACTGGTTTCTTTTTCCAGTTGACTGCATTAAACTATTATGGATGCCATTACTGGACTGACAACATTGTTATACTCCCTGTTGGGTGATGAGAATTCCCTTTATGGCTCACTTATTAAAAGAATTATAAAATGCTTTGAATGCATGAGGAGCCGCCCATTAGAACCCCATTACTGTTGTCAAGTGCAGGTCAGCAGCTGGAAATGAATGGTTGGTTGGCATCTTGCAGAAAACCTGTTTTTGTTTTTTTTTTTTTTTTTTTTTTTTTTTTTTTTTTTTTTCTTCCCACCTATACATCTTTCCATTCCATTTCTGTTCACATAGATAGAACAAATATTTATATATTATTATTATACAGGATTTATATAGTGCCGACAGTTTGCTCAGCGCTGTACTTTATAATGGGAGACAATACACGAGACAGTACAGTAACAATACAATTCAATACACGAGGGGTTCGAGGGCCCTGCTCCTTGGAGCTTACAATCTAGGAGGGAGGGGATAGTGGTACAGGAGGAAATGGCTGTGGGGGATGGAGTGGTTGGAAGAGTAGAGGAGTTCAGTATTAGCTGAGGGCAGCGTAGGCTTCCCTGAAGAGATAGGTTTTCAGAGTGCGCCTAAAGGTGAGCAGAGTAGGTGATAGTCTGATGTATTGGGGTAGGGAGATCCAGAGGATGGAGGAAGCCCTGGAGACGAGCATGGGAGGAGGAGACAAGGGAGCTAGAGAGTAGGAGGTCTTGTGAGGAGCGGAGTGTACGGTTTGGGTGATATTTGGAGACAAGATCGGTGATGTAATTTGGGGCAGAGTTATGAACGGCTTTATACATCAGTGTTAGCGTTTTGAATTTTATCCGTTGGGCAATTGGAAGCCAGTGGAGGGATTGGCAGAGAGGGGTGGCAGATACAGAACGGTTAGTGAGGTGGATGAGTCTGGCTGCAGTATTCATGATAGACTGAAGAGGGGATAGCCTGCGGTGGGGGTCGGCCAATGAGGATGGAGTTACAATAGTCAAGGCGAGATATAATAAGGGAGTGAATGAGTTGCTTAGTGGTTTCCAGAGTTAGGAACGGACGTATCTTGGAGATGTTGCGGAGGTGAAGTCTACATGAGTTTGTCAGCGATTGGACCTGGGGCTGAAAGGACAGATTGGAGTCTAGGATGACACCTAGTACTCTGGCATGATGGGAGGGACTGATGATTGTGTTGTTGGTCTTGATGGAGAAGTCGGGGGGGCGCAGGTTGGGGGGAATACTAGGAGCTCAGTTTTGGAAAGATTGAGTTTGAGGAAGTGGAGTGACATCCAATCTGATATGTCGCTTATTAGGCTTGTGATTCGGGCGGAGACTGAAGGGGTGAGGTGAGGGGTAGAGAGATAGATTTGTGTGTCTTTGGCATAGAGATGGTAGTTGAAGCTGTGGGAATTTATCAATTGGCCAAGGGAGGAGGTGTAGATGGAGAAGAGGAGGGGTCCGAGGACAGAACCTTGAGGGACCCCAACAGTGAGGGGGAGTGAAGAAGAGGTGGCAGCGTTATAGGTAACACTGAAGGAGCGCTGCGATAGGTAGGAGGAGAACCAGGAGAGAGCAGAGTCTCTGAGGCCAAGAGAGTGGAGTTTTTTGAGGAGGAGCAGCTGCAGATCCTCAAAGAATGTTATGGCTTTACTTTTTTTTTTTTTTTTTAGGATTTTTTACAAAGACATTACAACTATAACCACTTAATTCCCTACACCGGGGTTAATGAAGTGGACGAAATGTTAATAAAATATTAGATGTTGAATCAAATCCATCAGAATGTGACCAGCTTTATTCTCACATGCCAGTATGGAAAATAGGATCTTTGTTTTACAGTAGACTGCCTTAATCATGGAGTATTGTTATATAAAAGAGTCCCAGCTTGTAATTCTAGTCAGATCCCTCTTAGAAAATGTTTTTCTTTTTTTCTAAAAATACCCATTTTGATTTGACTGCAGACATTGGTAATGTGGGTACTCTACACTTCCACGGATGCTGCCAGTCGTGAATATGAACTGTATTTGGGGATTTCAGTGGGATTCTTAAATGTTGTACCCTGCAGTGTTAGGGGAATCATTTTTATAAAGTGCATTATTTGTACTGATGACTAGAACACTACAAAAGATCCCTGGCACACTTTCAAGGTAACCAGAAAAAAAAAAAGCATAAATAAATTGCCAAATTGCCAGATCAAGGCCGGTCTCATAAGTGTAATCCTTAAGGCTTGGTTCACATCTGTGCAGGTGGTGCCGCTGCGGATCCGCACGAAAATCCGTACAGCCGCACCACCCGCACAGAGAAATGCGGACCCGCGGGCGGGTACCATTAGTTCTAATAACACGCCGCCCGCACTGGGAAACGCAACTGTACCGGGAACTGAGGTTCCTGTGCGGGCTGCGTTTTCAAAAGATGTGAAGGGATTTCTTCCCTGCATGTATCAGGCACGGGAGTCCATTCAAATGAATGGGCTCTCGTGCCCGTGCAAAACACGGCCGCATATATGTGAACCGGGGCTAACTCTTAACTATTGGGGTTCTAATTGGAGAGGCATATATTTATCAAAACAAACTTCGGCCTCATCTGGAGCAGCTATTTTCTCCTTAAGGGCCGGTTCACACTATAGAAACGCAGACCAGATGTGTTCTGGATGCGTTTTTTTGGCGTGTTCCGGTGCTCTTTTGATGCATTTTTGATGCGTTACTGTGCATCTTTTATGCATTCCAGTTCATTTTTTTCCCCCTCTTTTTCTTCAATTGAAATAGGGACATGTGCGTTCTAGCGCGGTTTTTATGCATTTTACCGCGTTCCAGTACAGTTCTGTGCAGAAAAAATGCCTGTACTTTTTTTTTTTTCTGTAACCGGAACGCACTAGTCTGCAAGTACTGATGTGAACTATGACATTGACAACCATATAACCTACTTTCTGTGCGTTTTGGATGCAAAAAAACGCAACTGAAACGGATGGAGTGTGAACCGGCCCTAAAGCAGAACTAAGCTCTGGAATATACTCACCCCAACCTTCAGAGATGTGTCTGTTACATCCCTCACTGTCTCCCCGGGTACTGGGATTTTGGGCCTCTTGATTGGCTCGGGGGGGGTAGTGGGATGTTATTTCCATGCAAGGAAGTCAGTTCTGGCCTAGCCAGAGTGTTCTGCATGCACACTGAGCTGTGCGTTAGCAGGTCAGTTTAAATTCAGTAGAAAACTGCAAGCAGGCAGGTAAAATGTGTATTGCAAAAGAGACAGAGCAGGTCTTTTCTGCAATACAGAGCTGCCTGCTCACCGTTTTCTACAAGTTAGGTATAGTTCTGCTTTAAAGGTAAAGAAACTCACTAACTTCCTCCCTCCCAGTTCGTTGGGAACTACAGGCGTCGTCTGCCATGGTGGCTGATGGGACTTGTAGTTCATTCATTCACAGATAGCTGTGAATGAATGAAGTGGCTGTGTGGGCAGAGCCACACACAGATGTGCTGTTTTTAAATTGTGACAGCGGGTGCGGGAGAGGATCTTCCACTGACGCAATGGGGGATGGGGGGGGTACAGGTCTGCTGCTTTAGTAACCTGTTAATCCTGAACACTGGTGTAACATGTTACTACAGGTGAAATTTTCATTTTAATATATATGCTGTGGGTGTTTTTTGTTTTGATTTTTCCCTCATTTTTTTTTAATCCTTTATCTTCTCTTCAAAGGGTCCGTCTCAAACAAAATAAATATCCCATCCTTTTTCTGACACAAGGCCAATCCGAAATCTATCCAGAGCTCATGGATTTGAGATCCCGAACAACTCCATTTGCGATAAGCTTTGCTCAGTTTGAAAATATTCTGGTAAGTAATTGGTGTAATTTTACATAACTGTAAGAGCAAAGAAAGCTGACAGAGGTGAACTCCTGTCTCTGTAAACTGAAAAAAGTGCTAGTCCAGGGTTGACAGGGGGTCATACAAGGTCTGGACAGTGACACAAAGTCCGATTAAACTACTTGGGTCAATTTAGACAAGATTTAAATAAGTTGCCAGTATATTTTTGTAGTGTAGGAGGAAACCAGAGCACCTGGAGGAAACCCATGTAAGGACAGAGATAACAGGCAAACTCCATGCAGAATCCTGGTTGGGATTTGAACAGAGGACACCAGTGCTGCATTGCACCGCTCTCTTCTCTGCCTGTCCAGTGCTCACTTGAGCAGGGGAGGCAGTGGGTGGGCACAACTAGATCCTGGCTGTCAGCCACATGCTGAGAGGCTGAGCCAGCTGTCAATCAGGCAGCTATGTGGATCCCGACAATATAGTTGGTAACCTTGCAATGCCTGGAACAGGGGCGGACTGACAACTCATGGGGCCCCCGGGCAATAGGGGATCATGGGGCCCCTGTGTCCCTTGCCCAAACTCAAAAAAGCCTATGAAAAAGGTACCACGGGCATCTCATGGGGCCCCCTACTGACCCCGAGCCCTCGGGCAGTGCCCGAGTTTCCAAATGGTCAGTCCGCCCCTGGCCTGGAATGACTGCCATGTGAACTGATAGCAAGCCATAGACCAATATTGGCTTTTTCTGGGTCACAGGAGATCAAAAGTAAGTGCATTCTTGTGACCCACAGAAAGACAAACAAAACAAAAGCTTTGGCCATACTTTTCTTTTAATATAAACAGGACATTGGTTTAAAAACTTGTAAAATGCTAAACCAGCACAGTGTCGCAGGATACTTGTGTATAAGCAGAATATTTTTACTACAGTTTCATTGACTAAACTCAGCGGCTAGACTCATCCACCTCACCAACCTCTCCACATCTGCCTCCCCCCTCTGCCAATTCCTTCATTGGCTCCCGATAGCCCAACGCATCAAATTCAAACTGCTAACTCTGACCTACAAAGCCATTCACAATGCCGCCCCAAACTACATAACTGACCTGATACCCAAATACTACCCTACCCGTGCCCTCCGCTCCTCACAGGACCTCCTACTCTCTAGCTCCCTGGTCTCCTCCTCCCACGCCTGATTGCAGGACTTCTCTAGGACTTCCCCCGTCCTCTGGAACTCCCTACCCCAATCCATCAGACTGTCACCCACCCTCCTCACCTTCAGGCGCACCCTGAAAACCCTCCTCTTCAGGGAAGCCTACCCCAACCTCACCTAACACCTGACCTCACCTAACAACCTCCTCCACTCCTCCCACCACTCCATCCCCCACAGCCATCTCCTCCTGTGCCACCTTCCCCTCCCTCCTAGATTGTAAGCTCGAAAGAGCAGGGCCCTCGAACCCCTCGTGTACTGTTTTGTTACTGTCTTGTCTCATGTTCTGTCCCCCTTGCTACTGTACAGCGCTGAGCATACCCTTTGGCGCTATATAAATACTGTATAATAATAATAATAATAATTAACCGTTTCTGGTGACAAAAGAATTCAATACTTAATACTAAATAGTTTGTATCAGGAGTTAAAGAACCCTGATGGTTTGGTACATTTGTTCATGACAGACTGACTTATTGTTTTCATAATGTATGAATAGGGAATAAATGTCCACACTGAAGATCTGCTGAAAAATCCACATTATATACACGAGGCTAAATCAAAAGGTCTGGTTGTGTTCTGCTGGGGCGATGATACCAATGACCCTGATAACCGGAAGCTGATGAGAGATTATGGAATCGATGGACTTATCTATGACAGGTACTTTTATCAAAAATGCCTTAATTGTATAATAGAGGGCCCCCAACAATTCAAGTAGTGGGATTTTAAGGGCAACTCAAAATACTGCAGTAAAATAGCGAAAGTGATTACAATATCTAAAAGATACACAATGTAGTCATTGAAATTGAAGCATAGCACAGTGTGCTAAATACTGTATGGCTGCAATGGTGAAAAATATCCAGTGTGAACCACAAAGTCAAGATGGCATATCCTACTTGTCCTATTGGAAAAACATCAACGGAGAACCCGACGCGTTTCAGATATCTGTTTCATCAGGGGTACGTTGTGGAGGAAGATCATATATTATTTGGATCAAATGTAGCCATATCTATAGTAAAGTTAAAACCTCTGTTAACGTCTGCTGGCACCCCGGAGGCCACCATGGAGCCTCACACTGAGACCGCCATAGAGGGAGAGGAATCAGATAGGTTCCTAGCTCGCTCCAGTCATCGGAGGGATGTGTAATGATTGTAAAAATGACTTAGAATCAATATCCACTTCCACATAGATAAATTGCAGTAGGTGGAGTGGCGAGGACCCAGTTTCAAGATGATGTAGTATATATCTCAGTATCTTCAGAGAAGGAAATCATCTAGTCCTCTTGCACACAAAATTAAGTGACAATCGTCTGTCCCGGTGGTGCACACAGTATCGCAGCTGAATTGAACAAGCTGAAGTTAGAAGCTGATTGGCTACCATGCACAGCTGCACCAAATTTTCCACTCTCCAGTTTTACTAAATTGAACCTATTGATGGAGAAGCAGCATACAGCTAGTAAAGTCTATACTTCCATCCTGCTACCTTGTTCCAGGTCAGTGACTTACTCCAGAGACTTGGGCAAAAGAAACTGTATAGACCAGGGGTCTCCAAACTATGGCCCTTCAACTGTTGAAGTACTAGAAGTCCCTTCATGCCTCTGCCCCTGGGAGTCTTGCCTGTAGTTGACAGAGTCATGGAACTTGCAGTTCCTCAACACCTGGAGGACCATAGTTTGGAGACCCTTGGTATGGACCAGGGGTCTCCAAACTTTCTAAGCAAAGGGCCAGTTTACTGTCCTTCAGACTTTAGAGGGCCGGTCTGTGGCCAGTGGAAGCAGAAAATGCCCCGGCATCAGTGCCCCATCATTGGTTTCAATGGGTGGAATAGTGCCCCATTGTTGATACAGTTGCAAGAAAAAGTATGTGAACCCCTTGGGATTACGTGAGTTTTGCATGAATTGGGCATAAAATGTGCTCTGAACGTCATCTAAGTCACAACAATAGAAGAACACAGTCTGCTGAACATAATACTACACAAACATTAGATGTTGCCATGGTTTAATTGCACATAACATGTAAACATTCACAGTGCAGGGAGGAAAAAGTATGTGAGTCCCTAGCTTAATGACTTCCCCCAGAGCTAATTGGAGCCAGGAGTGAGCCAACCTTGACTCCAATCAGTGTGGTGATATTGGATGTGTTGCTGACAGCTGTCCTGCCCTTAAAAAAACACACACCTGTTTTGGGTTTACTGGTTTCAAGAAGCACTGTCTGATGTGAACCATGCCTCGCAGAAAGAGCTCTCAGAAGACCTACGAAAAAGAATTGTTGACTTGCATGAAGCTGGAAAGGGTTACAAAAGTATCTCCAAAAGCCTTCATGTTCATGTGTCCACGGTAAGACAGACTGTCTACAAATGGAGAAAGTTTAGCACTGTTGCTACTCTCCCTAGGCGTGGTCGTCCTGTAAAAATGACTGCAAGAGCACAGCGCAGAATGCTGCATGAGGTAAAGAAGAATCCCAGAGTGTCAGCTAAAGACCTACAGAAATCTCTGGCACATGCTAACATTTTTGTTAACACATCTACAATAAGGAAAACATTAAACAAGAATGGAGTACATGGGAGGACACCACGGAGGAAGCCATTGCTGTCCAAAAAATATTGCAGCACGTTTGAAGTTTGCAAAAGAGCACCTGGATGTTCCACAGCACTACTGGCAAAATATACTGTGGACAGATGAAACCAAGATTGAGTTGTTTGGGAAGAACACACAACACTATGTGTGGAGAAAAAAAGGCACAGCACACCAACATCAAAACCTCATTCCCACTGTAAAACATGGCGGAGGGAGCATCATGGTTTGGGGCTGCTTTGCTGCCTCAGGGCCTGGACAGATTGTTGTCATTGATGGGAAAATGAATTCCAGAGTTTATCAAGACATTTTTCAGGAAAACGTACGACCATCTGTCCACCAACTGAAGCTCCACAGAGGATGGGTGATGCAACAGGACAATGACCCAAAGCATACAAGTAATTCAACAGAACAATGGCTGCAACAGCACAGAATACGCCTTCTGGAGTTGCCCAGTCAGAGTCCTGACCTCAACCCGATTGAAATGCTGTGGCATGACCTTAAGAGAGCGATTCACACCAGACATCCCAAGAATATTGCTACAATGAAACAGTTTTGTGAAGAGGAGTGGTCCAAAATTACTCCAGATCGTTGTGCAGGTCTGATCTGCAACTACAGGAAACGTTTGGTTGAGATTATTGCTGCCAAAGGAGGGTCAACCAGTTATTAAGTCCAAAGGTTCACATACTTTTTCCTCCCTGCACTGTGAATGTTTACATGTTATGTGCAATTAAACCATGGCAACATCTAATGTTTGTGTAGTATTATGTTCAGCAGACTGTGTTCTTCTATTGTTGTGACTTAGATGACGTTCAGAGCACATTTTATGCCCAATTCATGCAAAACTCCACATAATCCCAAGGGGTTCACATACTTTTTCTTGCAACTGTATAAATGAGAAGGACATATGTAACAGAACCAAACCCCGACTGCACTTGTATTTCCGTTATAATACCGCTTCCCCCGTCTGAACACCGACCACAGACACCACAGCAGACCATACAAGACTAGACGGCACCAGTCTTGAAGGAAACCAGGAAATAAACTATTTTATTTTAGCACAGATACAAGATATATACATGCAAGGGAACAACCCCCCCCCCCCCTTTGGCATAATGACACAGGGCGGGGCAACCTTCCTTTAGTAACAAGAGACACACCAGCAGACAGTCCCATCAGGAGGGAGGGCTGCTGCAGACACTCACCCCACCCCCCCCCCACCCCTCACCACCACCACCACCAAGCCAATACACATAAACACACATACTTCCCATAATAGTTTGCTCCCAAGCAAGACACACAATAGAACAATGGGATGCAACCACATGGCATTAAACAATGACCAACCCCCCACCCCAATATTAGGACAGATCACCATGTACCCCTAACAGGCACAGGGTGACTTGCACATGATAGGGATATGGGGAGCTAAGACAGGGATCTCCCCACCTCTCCAAAGTGAGCTGTGTTCCATGGGCCCCCCCATCCAAAGTGACTCCCGTCACAATATAGCACCCAGTTGATGATGTCAGTAGGCGGACTGGTGCTTCAACATTGGTGTCATTTGATGGAGTTAATACCCCAAGGGCCAGATAAAAGCAAGCAAAGGGCCATGTCCAGCCCCCAGGCTGCAGTTTGGAGACCACTGGTATAGACGATCAGATGGCAGCTGTGATAGTGGTTACAGCTGATGGGTAAATCCGGCACAGTGTAAAGAATTTTGCCAGATATTGTAGTATTTCACAGAAAACTGAAAATGACTATTTTGTATTATATGACACATTTCAAGCGTCTTCTCTCCTTTTTCTCTCTTGCTTTCTATTTCTTTTTTCTATTTCCCCTCAGAATTTGCTCCTAACGAGCAGCTTGTATGTATGAGAGCAGCGGAGGTGTTGTCATGATCAGGTCTTACATTTTAAGCCTGTTTGTTAAAAAGCATGAGCACGTTACTTTTATTTCTAAAGTTATTGAAATTAGTAATGATGAAGCTAAACTCTGGGCAGTCAGCTAAATACACAAATGAAATACAAATAAAGGAACTGCTTGTGACCCCCAACCGAAATGATGGATGCCGCTCAGGCTGTAAGGATCCCAATCAATAAAGCCAACCACTGAGAGTGCAGACTAGAATGGAGCTTGTCCAGGCTCCAGACAACAATGTACAGAGAAGAAAATGTCCACGTCAGCCACACATCTCTGCTAACCCCGAGGTAAAAAAGTGTAAGAGCCTCAGCCCAGGCTTCATTCAGGCCACGCCCCCAATGTGTTTTCACTTCGCCCCTGTTGTTCACCCAATGGGGAGCTCATGGGGATCCCCTTGGTTGAGCTCTGAAGGCGCAGTGAAATGTGTTCAGGGCATGGCCTGGTTAGAGCCAGGGCTGTGTGCAAAGAAACAAACAGAGGGCGCACGGGCCTAGTGCATTACCTTTTAAAAAGGTACAGTGGCTAAATGGTTAGCACTTGCACCTGGCAGTACTAGGGTCGTTGGTTCGAATCCCAACCACGCCACCACCTGCCTAGAGTTTGAATGTTCTCCCTGTGCCTGCGTGGGTGTCCTCCAGGTACTCTGGTTTCCTCCCACACTCCAAAGACCTGCTGGTAGGTTAATTGGATCCTGTATAAATTGTCCCTAGTATGTGTATGTATGAATGTGAGTTAGGGACCTTAGATTGTACGCCCCTTGAGGGTTAGGGACTGATGTGAATGTATAATATATATGTAAAGCGCTGCGTAAATTGATGGCGCTATATAAGTACCTGTAATAAATAAATGAGATTTATTGAATAAAAAGTAGTATACTCACAAAAGAATAAAATCAAAGCCACATCACAAAAAAAGACAGCATGGTCCAATCTCTCTAGATGGTGGCTGTTGGGGGACTGTAGGCCTCCAAATGGTAGAACCTCTTCCTCGGAGCCAACTGAGGAAGAGGTTCTGCCTCGAAACGCGTCAACATTTGGAGGCCTACAGTCCCCCAACAGCCTCCAAATGGCAGGACCTCTTCCTCAGAGCCAACTGAGGAAGAGGTTCTGCCTTGAAATGTGTCAGCCATTTGGAGGCCTACAGTCCCCCAACAGCCATCATCTAG